AAAGGTATAGTGTCCACCTACAATTAAAAAATGAAAAACTTTGTGAATTTATTTTTAGAGTTCTTTTTTTATTCTACTCTATATTACTGTGACTTCTTCATGTGGGCTGCAGATAAATTTTTTCTCAGTCCTAGGAATAGTTATACTTTTGAGTAGCTATTTTTTTTTTTAATCTCATGGACAGTGCAAGTGGTTGTTTTGTACTTGTGATGACCACTAGATGCACTTGAGCTGAGATGAATTTTCAACTCTAAAAACTGCAAAATTGCAAGATACATTTCTTGTGTACAGATTCAACAAATGCTGGTTTTATTTTCCTTCTTTTCTGTTTTCTTTCTTTTGATTTCCTCACTTTCTTCTTCACTATGACCTGGCATTTTAAAAAGCACCAGTTTCAGAAGTTCAGTCCATGGTTGGCCAACTCCACTGCTCTGGGACAGGGATGAGGCGTGATGGAAAGGTGTGTCAGAGGAAGGCTGTTCATGACAGCTAGGAAGCAGAGCAAACATATACATTTAAAAAGGAAAAAAAAAAAGCTTTTATTAGCCAGGTGTGGTGGCACATGCTTACAATCCCAGAGACTTGGGAGCCTGAGGCAGGAGGATCACAAGTTTGAGGCCAGCCTCAGCAACTCAGTGAGACACTGTCTCAAAATTTTAAAAATAAGTAAAAAGGGCTGGGGGGGGGTTAGTTTAGTGGCAGAGAACCCCTGTGTTCAATCCCAGTACCATAGGAAGGGATGCGGGAGTTTTTAACTATAAAATAACTTTTAGGAATGAAATAGACCTCTGATGAATCCCTTAGGTACTAGAGCTGAAATAAGCTAGATACAGCTGGTTCCACTAATGATTTCCCTATGACTTTTACTCTTGGACAAAAAGAGGTCTCAGACCAGGAAGAAAGTAAGTTTGAGTTTTATATTGGAGTAGGCAGTCTGAGGGTCTATAACATATTCCACTGGAGAAAATTTAAACTAATGAATTGCCACCTAGGTAATAAACTTAGTCAAGATCACTATTTGAGGCTGCAGGTATAGCTCAGAGCTAGTATGAACAAGGCCCTAGGTTAGATCCCCAGCATCTCTCTCTCTCTCTCTCTCTCTCTCTCTCTCTCTCTCTCTCTCTCACACACACACACACACATTGTTATTGAAAGAAAATTAATATAGTTTATTAGACTTGACATTATATTTGGGAAGACTAATTGATTTCCTCTGGTCACTAATTTTCAGCAATCTGTAATAAGAAAAATAAGGTCTACATTGTTCACAAACTTGATTTATTCACCTTATAGAATATATCATTTTTATTTTGGGAATCAAAATATATTATTGTTGTTGTTGTTGTTGTTGTTATTATTCTAGGGATTAAACCCACAGGTGCTCTACCACTGAGCCAAATCTTTTTATTTTACTTTGAGATAGGCTATCACTAAGTTGCTGAGAATGATCTCAGACTTTCAATCTTCCTGCCTCAGTCTCCTGTGTAGCTGGGTCATAGGCATGCCCCACCATATCTGGCCAAAACACAATTTTAACATGAAATGATGTTCACAGTAAACAAAACTTGTTTTTTAGTTTGGCAATTTTTTTTAAAGATAGAGAGAGGAGAGAGAGAGAGAGAGAGAGAGAGAGAGAGAGAGAGAGAGAGAGAGAGAGAGAGAGAGAGGGAGAATCCTAACATTTTATTTTTTTAGTTTTCGGCGGACACAACATCTTTGTTTGTATGTGGTGCTGAAGATCAAACCCGGGCCGCACGCATGCCAGGCGAGCACGCCACCGCTTGAGCCACATCCCCAGCCCAGTTTGGCAATTTTTTAAAATTGTAGGTCTGTTTTTTTTTTTTTTTTCTGTGTGTGTGTGTGTGTGTGTATGTATGTGTGTATGTGGTGTGCTAGGGATTGAACCCAGGGCCTAATACATGCAAGGCAAGCACTCTACCAACTAGCCCCAGGCCTGTTGGTTCTAAAAATTATTTTGAAAATCTGAACTAATTTACTAAATCCAAAATATGACCCATGTCAATTCAACTCTTATTTGTTCATTCAACACATAATCTGAGGGGTTGCCACATGAGATGGGACACAAAGAAGAAACAGGCTGCCCTGTGTGCTTTTTTGCTCATGGTGAAAAGGACCCGTTTAGTCAGCAGTTACTAGTCAGCTGTGCAAAGTCCTCTGGGAGCAGCCGTGAGGGAAAGTCTATTTGTCTAGACATTCAATCTCATGGAAAAAAGAAATGAAGCTGACCTGCCTTAAAAATGCACAGGTACGAGCCTGCTGATGAAGGGAAACATGGAAGCAAGAGAAGCGTGTGTAGTCGGGAACTAGGGTGCCTGTCCAAGTTAAAATGTGAAGGACAAAGGAATAAGTGAGGCTGAGCAAGTGTCATCCTCAGCTAAGCACTTTTTTCCCCTTGGAGGGGGGTGCCAGAAATAGAACCCAGGGCTTTGTACATGCTAGGCAACCCCAGCCCCCCCCTTTTTTTTTAAACAAAATTGTTGTGAGAAACACATAAACCTACCATCTTACCATTTTAAGAGTACGCTTCAGTAAAGTATATTCTGACTGTTGGCTTTATCCTACAGGAATAAATAATTTCAAGTTGAGACTAGAAATTTAGAAAGACTGTCTTAAAGGGTTGGGGTAAAAGGAGGTAGGGGCTGGAGGATAGAAGGAGGGAAGGGATTATACGATTTGGAACCTTGGATGGTGGCAACAAGGGGTTCACTGAGATTCTGGGATCCTCATGGCTGTGCAGGCATTTAACCACTCATTCTTCTGTGGAGCAAAAGGGAGAAGACTAGGTGGCCAGGAAATGCAAGGGTGCAGTGTGTTTTTTCAGATTGGACCAGTCACAGATTCAGGAGTTCAGAGACCTGCAACATAACTGTTCAGATCAGAGATGGTTTTACTGACAGGGAAGATATGTATCATGTATTTGCCTCACTGAGGAAAAATCTGATTGATTGGTACCTGGATGCCGTGACAACTTAGGCGCTGGGCCCGACACTTGCACCATGTCTCGCAGTATTTGGTAAAAAGTTAGATGCACAGATACCGGAGATAGGATCAGAGTGCTTTTGATTGCTTTTTTTGGTGGGGGAATCACTGCGGATTGAACCCAGGGTGCCTCAGGTACTGAGCCATATCACCAACCCTTTTTGTTTTATATTGCTAAGTTGCTTAGTGCCTCAGTGAGTTGCTGAGGCTGGTTTTGAACTTGTGGTCCTCCTACCTCAGGCTCCACAGTTGCTGGGATTACAGGTGTGCACCACAGGGCCCAGTTGCTTTGATGAAGGAGCAACTGGCACCATTTGGGAGGACCTCCTGAGAGAGTTGCTGACTACGCTGTGGTCAGTAGAGCATGTCTCTTGAACTTCACGATGAGGAAGTGGATGAGCTGTGTAGAGAAGCACCTATTCACAAAAAGGGGAATTTCAATTACATTGAGTTCATGTGGATCCTTAAACAGAACAAAAGACAATCATAACTAAAAAGGACCTCACATGCTAGCCAAACATTCCTTGTTGCCACTTTGGGTGTTTCTGAAATTTTCTCTGAGTCTATCGCATGCCCTTAGCTTTAGAACTTTTGCCTTTCATATTGTATTTATTTTCAGACATTTGGCACATGTATCTTTGCAGTCAGACTGGAAATGAGAATTTTTTATCATTTTCTTTTCTTTTTTTAAAATATTTATTTACTTATGTATCTTTAGTTTTAGGTGGATATATTAGTTTGTTTTTACGTGGTGCTGAGGATCGAACCCAGTGCCTCATGCATGCTAGGTGAGCACTCTACCACTGAGCCACCATCCCAGCCCATTTTTTTTTTTTTGTCATTTTCAACATAGAAAATAGGGCAACTTAACTGTGTGTAATGGCACACACACATCTGTAATCCCTGCTACTTAGAAGGCTGAGGCAGGAGGATTCCAAGTTCAAGGCCAGCCTGTGCAACAAAGTGAGACACCACTGCCCACCCCAAGGGAAAAAAAAGGAGAAAAAAGAAAAATAGAATAAACTTATTAGTGGCTTCCCACCCAATAACTGGAGTTAATCTATTTCTTTAAAGAATGTTATTTGCTCAATATTTCCTGAACCATAATTAAATTTTGTGATTAAAAAAAAATGTTTACAAGTTTTCTGGTGGATTTGTGAGTAGGGGATGGTTTCTAGCTTGGTCATCTTTTTTTTCCCCAGAGGGGAAGTTATCCAAAGGAATTCAACACACCCTGGCTGAGTACCCAACCTGTATGCTGTATGGGCTACAAGCTTTCCAGGGGCCACAGCTTGCCCGGAAATGTTAAACCGTGACAGTTAAAAAAAAAAAAAAAAGTGTGTATATATACACATAATATAAATATATAACTCACTGAGGCACTAAGTAAAGTATATATAAGCAAAATATAAATATATATGAATTGCTACAAAAATCTTAAGAAAACAGAGATTTTACTCTACTCTTAAAAAATGTACAGTTACTGTATAACAAACACACTTTTTTGGGTTTCTTTTCCTCTTTCCTCCCCCGCACTCCCCCACCCCCAACTGGGGGTTAAACCCAGGGCCTGGCGCATGGTAGGCACACACTCTATCACTGAGCTACGTCACCAGCCTTTTTCATTTTTTGAGACAGGGCCTCGCTAAGTCGCTGAGGCTGGCCTCCAACTTGCCATTCTCCTGACTCAGTGACTGCAAAGTGCATGCTCTTGAGAAGAAACGTGGCTGAAGAGTTAGACGGTGAGTTCAGGTTTGAAGGATGCTGAGTGGCCCTCTCTTTATTCGGAAACTTACTTCCTCACTTCAAAGCCACAGAAACCACAGGTCTCTAGGTCTGCACCTCAGGCGGCTGGCACCTGAGTCTCCAGAGCACGGTCTCCCAGCGAGCGCAAAGCGTGCTAGGCGGCCTCCTCACACACGAGGGCGCTCTCGCAACTACAGTCGAAGGAGTAGCTCCGTTTGCTGTCGCGATATTCTTGACGCCGGAAGGGCGAAAGATCAGAGGTCACGTAGACGGCGCGTCCCGTCCCCGTACGCCTAAGTTCTCGCGCGAGTTGCGCTTCCGTCCTTTTGGCTCTCTGAGCAGCACCATGGCGGTAGGCAAGAACAAGCGCCTTACAAAAGGCGGCAAGAAGGGAGCCAAGAAGAAAGTGTAAGTGGCGACCATCGTCGGTCCTCGCTGTTGGGGTCCTGCTGGAATCGGCGGGCGGGCTCTAGATCGCGGTGTGGGCTGGATGGCGAGGATGCTGGTTGGATTGCGCTGGCCCTGACTTTGGTTCAGAGTGCACCGCGGCCTGGCGGATATGGGTGCTGCGTTGCGCAGGGCTGCCTGCTTTTCCCCAGACTTCCTGGGTCTTGCGTGCGCCACGTGTGAGCCGAGTGTTCCCCGCGACTCGGCGTGTTCTGTTCTGTGCGCTCAGGGTAGCCTATGTCCGTGGATTTTTGGCGCCACTCCATTAACTGTTCTCCAGGAAGTTACTCCCTTCAGGGACCCGCACCTCTCTACTGCTTGGGCCCCGTGGGAGGTTCTGAGAAGCTAACCCTAAAGGGTCTTTGTTACCACTTCGTGCCTTCACGAACCTGTGGAGTTCGTGAGACGTGCAGGTTACCGGAGGAACATTTGTCCGTGTGATGGGCGGACCATGGAGGAGAGTGGCCATAACCTTAGGGTCTGTAGGCTGTACAGCGAGACTCAGAACATCAAGCTTCACGTGTGCGTGCTTCATTTCACTGTGAGGGAATTGATTGACTTTAGTGTTAGGTAGTAGTTAAGTAGTTAAGATTTCTTAAAATCTTGCTGGGAAGTGAAGTTAACATTAGTGTTAAATAAGGAAAGGTGTAAGAAATTTCAGTAATAAATACAAGACTTGCAATGAAACGTAAGCTTTTTTTTTTTTCCCCCCCAGGGTTGATCCATTTTCTAAGAAAGATTGGTATGATGTGAAAGCACCGGCAATGTTCAATATAAGAAATATTGGAAAAACGTTAGTCACCAGGACCCAGGGAACCAGTGAGTATCTTATACTTGGTTTGCATTTTCTTTAATTGAGGTATATGTATTGTAGTAGGCATATTGGGCTTCTGTTCCTCCTGTGACAGGAGACTTTAAGGACACCTCGCTTCTTGGTTTTAGGTTTGGCACCTGTGGTGGTTGTTTTTGTGGTACTCTTAAGCAAGAGTCGTGCTTTTAGAGTTCACTAACAGTGGACAAGTGGTTTTGAACTTCTAAGGGGCACTGTCAATAAGTCATTGAAGTTTTGATGAATTTGATAACAAAGATTAAGGTCTTTATTTACCATTAACTTAATTTTTAATCTCAGCTTATATGCATGACTTAGTAGACTTGTATTTATGTAGTTCCTAAAGTTAACCAGATATTCAATTCTTATTTTGTAGAAATTGCTTCTGATGGCCTCAAGGGTCGGGTGTTTGAAGTGAGTCTTGCTGATCTGCAGAATGATGAAGTTGCGTTTAGGAAGTTCAAACTAATTACTGAGGATGTTCAGGGAAAAAACTGCCTGACCAACTTCCATGGCATGGATCTTACCCGTGACAAAATGTGTTCCATGGTCAAAAAATGGCAGGTGAGACCCAAAGTTTTCTTGGAGTTCATAGGGTACATTACCAAGGATGTCATGGTGTGATGACAGGAAGGGAACATATGTAATGAAGATTTAGGTTTCATTTGAAATTTTTGATTTCGTCCTTTTAAATATATATATATATTTTTTGTCAGTGAATCTTTATGTGGTGCTGAGAATTGAACCCAGTGCCTTACACATGCTAGGCGAGTACTTTACCACTTCTTTATGACCCCAGCCCTTGATTGTGTTCTTGATTTTATTATGTGCTAACTCTGGTTGCTACTGCTGAGTTTATGATGCCTTGGCCATCCTTTATTTTTTTTGGTGGTACTGGGGATTGAACTAGGGTCACACATGAGCTATGTTCCCAGCCCTTTAAAAACTTTTTTATTTTGAAACATGCCTTGCCCAGTTTTTAGTGATCCTTATTCCCTCAGCCTCTCCCCAATTGGGGATTATAAGAGTGTGCTACCACAGCCAACTATGATCATCCTATTTTACTTGACATGTTTAAATTGAGTCCAAGGTTTAATACTGGGTTTTCATCGGTGTGTTTGGAACCACCAGGGGAGGCTTGCAGTTTTGCCTGTTTCTAAAATATTTTGGGATCTCAAAATCTAGTGAATTTAGAGTGAAAGGGGGGCTCGGGTTAACCTTTTGATTGCCTCTGGCTGGGAGATGTAACAGTGGCAAATTCTCTGATGTGGTGTTTAAATCATGACTCCATGTCCCATTATGTTCTTGAGAAGTAAATTTTTGTTTGCTAAGCTTTGTTTCTTGTGGAGAGAAGTATATTCTTTCATTGAATTGTGGGGGTGAAATAAGCAATCCATGTAGCACAGTGCTTAACACAAAATACTCAGCTGGTGGTACCAGAAAATATATTGGTTCACATGTGTCTGGCTAACTGTCTAGTTTTGGAATATTTTGTATATGGGAATGAATGATGACAAAATGTTTCGGTCCCAAATGATACATCTTGATTATACCGTTACATTTATTTCTGACATTCCCTTAAGGTTTTATGGTTGCATTTCTGGAAATGTATGACTGTGATTGTGTTGATGTGTTCTTTTTCTTTTTGTGGTGCTGGGGATTGGAAATGTTCATTTTAAAAATAAAAGTATGTTTAATAAATGGAAAGCAGGCAAATCAATTTTTTCGTCACCACCTAAGGTGGCCTTTTGTATTTTAAATTTAGACAATAATATGATCACTAATTATGAACTTTAATTATATATTAGCTGTGAAATTAAATATTTTAATTTTTTTTTTTTTTTTGTCAGTGGGCCTTTATTTTGCTTATTTATATGTGGTGCTGAGGATCTAACCTGGTGCTGGTGCCTCCTGCATGCTAGGCAAGTGGTCTACCACTGAGCTACTACTCCAGCCCCATTTGATTGTTTATTGTTTTGCAGTGCTGGGGATTGAACCCAGGGCCTTGTGCATGCAAGGCAAACACTCTACCAAACTGAGCTATATCCCCAGCCCCATTTGTTTGAGTTTTGAGACCATATCTCAAAAAGTTGTCCAGGCTGGCCTCTAACTTGTGATCCTCCTGCCCCTACCACCCAAGTTGCTGTGATTACAGGAGTATGCCACTGCATCCCACCTAGTTTGGTTTTTTTTTTTTTTTTTCAATTCTTTTTTTTTTTTTTTAAAGAAAGAGAGAGAGAGAGAATTTTAATATTTATTTTTTAGTTTTCGGCGGACACAACATCTTTGTATGTGGTGCTGAGGATCGAACCTGGGCCGCATGCACGCCAGGCGAGCGTGCTACCGCTTGAGCCACATCCCCAGCCCCCACCTAGTTGTTTTTAATAATGAAATTGAGGGATGAATTAATGACATTAAAATGTGTTATATCTGACAGTATCTTTTTCTCTCTAGACGATGATCGAGGCTCATGTTGATGTCAAGACTACAGATGGTTATTTGCTGCGTCTATTCTGTGTTGGTTTTACTAAAAAACGCAACAATCAGATACGGAAGACTTCCTACGCTCAGCACCAGCAGGTTCGCCAAATCCGGAAGAAGATGATGGAAATCATGACCCGGGAAGTGCAGACAAATGACTTAAAAGAAGTTGTCAATAAACTGTAAGTGTTTATTTTGTTCCTCTTACAACAGAATCCTGCCTTAGATGAGGGAAAGCATATGATAACCCTGGCTCCAAGGAGGAACCAGACCCATATTTAAATCTTCTCTGTGAATCCTGGCTATATCCCTTAAATGAAATTGTGTTAAAGTGCTTAAGTAAATTGGTTTTTTGTTTGTTTTTAATCTTTTTGTGGATGAAGCTAGCAGCAGAAAGATGTTTTGCCTTAATTAGAAAGTACACAATCTTCCACAATTAGTAATGCTTGGGAACAGGTGATGAAAAAAAAGTTTCGGTCCCAGATGATGTCTAGTGATAATTAAACATTTTTCTGATGTTCCCATGCAGCATACAGATGCTTAAGAGAGTGTAATAGTTAACCATTAAGGCTTGGACTCAGAAGGCTTAGATATTAATTTTTTCAGATAGTCTATTCTTACTTGTAAAGGGGTGATAATATTAATAAGGATACCCTTCGGTTAAGTGAGGCATTTTATGTGTAGACTTACTCTAGGGTTTCTTTCCATGTAAAGGAAGTGGGATATCCCGTGTGTGAGAACCAGAACTTTGGTTTTTGTATTTAATTTCACCATCACTTGTGATTTGCAGGATTCCAGACAGCATTGGGAAAGACATAGAGAAGGCTTGCCAATCAATTTATCCTCTTCATGATGTCTTTGTTAGAAAAGTAAAAATGCTGAAGAAGCCCAAGTTTGAATGTAAGTGAGAAATCGCAATATTTGCGAAAGAAAAATGGTGGGACTAGATAATTTTTTTTCTTAGGGCCAAATAACACCTTTTTTCTTTCATAGTATATTGAACAAATCATTGTTTCAAGATATGATAAGCTATAACTAACAAATTTTTTTTTTCTTTTTAGTGGGAAAACTCATGGAGCTTCATGGTGAAGGTAGTAGTTCTGGAAAAGCTACAGGAGATGAGACAGGTGCTAAAGTTGAACGAGCTGATGGATATGAACCACCAGTTCAAGAATCTGTTTAAAATTCAAATTTTTAATAGTGACCAATAAAAAGTCCTATTTGTGATGGTTTGCTCCTGAATTTTCTTTTAAAATAATCTGACAGCTTGGTGAATCAGATTCTCCGAGTTGGTAGTGACCTGGTGAAATTTTTAATGGATTTTATCCATGAAGTAGCAGAAATAGTATGGAAATGGTATTTCACTTATCACATGCCCTAAAGGTGTTTTTTTTTCCCCCTCTTTTTGTTTAAAAACAAGTAGATGCTGATGAAGCTAGTTTTTGGGCACAGGCATTTGTTTACCATCTGGTGAGGGCCTTCTTGCATGGCAGAAGATATCACATGTCAAGCAGACTGGTTGGTTTGTCTTTAAATGTTTAACCATCTGGAAGGCTTGTTAACAGTTCGTTATTGGGTCCTTCCCTCAGGTTTCAGATTGAGTAGTTTTAGAATGAAGCCTGAAATTTGGCATTTGTAATAAGTTCTCAGGTAATGCTGGTGGTGCAGATACGCTTGGTGCTAGACTAAATAATGAAAGCTCTGCTGGGCAGGGTAGCACACCAGTGCCTGTTCAGCTGCGTGGGAGGGTCACGTGAAATAAAAATCAAAACTGAATTTAAAAAAAATGCTGTCTTTAGCCTCTCAACTATAAAACCAATGGCAAAATTTGGATTTAAAGTTAGTCATCTGTACTCCAAAGCTGAATTCCGCTAGAGAATGCTTATTACAGGTCTGTTAACAAATGGATATTTATATTGCTCTGTGTTTCCTCTAATCACTCCCTGTTTTGTGCTTATTTCTCAGACCTTCAGTTTCCTTTTTTTCCCAGCTGATGACCTTGTTTCCTATAATCACCAAGAAGGTTAAATAGATGTGAAGGAGTCTCAAATTTCCATTGCTTCTGCTCTGTCATCAGTGTGTGCATGTGTTTGTTTTCTGCCTTCTCATTACTGGATGGACTGTGCTAAGACAACCTTTCATTCAAGCATTAGATACCATATTGTCATGCTTCATTAAGCTCTTGGTTCCAGCAATTTATTCCGTTTACCTATTCCTTTCATCAGCCCATAGGCAAAATAACTCCATTCTTTTTTTTGTGTGTGTGGTACTGGGGTTGGAACCAGGGATACTCTACCACCAAGCAACTTTCCCAGCCTCTTTTATTTGAGATAATCTAAACATAAGTTGCTGAGGCTGTTCCCAAACTTGATCTTGCCTTAGCCTCCTCAGTACCAGCTGTGATGAACATGGTTACTGGTCGGGGCAGAATTCAAGCTGTTCTAGATCTAGACAAATTCCTTCAAATGAACTTTGCCATATTTTTGTTGACCTCTGGACTCTTGACAGTGGCCTAGCCATCTGGTCTGCCACTTCAAAGACAGGCAGATCAAAGACACCCTTTTTTAGGATTGTACACTGTGGAAATAGATTGTGCTTGCTCACTGGATCATCTAGGGCACTCATGTAGATAACTCTGGTAAATGCCAGTTCTCTGGTGAGGTGAGGCATACTGGATTTAAGGTGCTAATCAAGCCAGCACCACTCAGATTGTCCCCACAATGGCAATGTGGCCACCATCATGGACTAAGCACACAGGAAAAAACTCTTGTCATGCATGGCAGTCTTTGTGACTCCTGCCCAAAGTTATTCCATTTGTCTTGAAGCAAATGAGGCAATAATACACAAGGCATTTGTTCCTGATTAACTACTTTGGACCTTTGGCCTCCTCCAAGAATAACGAATGGTGCTGTACCACTGTGGACAGATTTTTAGACTATGATATCGCTGTTACACTCTGACCAACTGACTTTGGCCATACAATTGTAGCTCTTGAAACTAATGTGTCATATTCTATGTCTTCTAGACCATCTGCAGTCTGACCATTGGGTGCCTTCTGTCAAAAAGGCCACCTAGCAGTAAGCTAAACAGATTATTTCATGCTCCCCACCATCCACAGATATCTGACATTGTTGAGCATTAAAGAGGTTTCCAACTACATCACCCTCACCTCCTGGTCCACATATCTAAGCAAGGTAGTTAGACCACAGAATATGAGTCCCCAGAAAGGGATTCTCTCTGCTGCCTGCCAGGAAAAAAAGATCTGAGTAAAAGAATGATTAGAGAAAAGTTGGTTTAGGTATCAGTTTTCTGGCAGTGGAGAAAAGCAACAACTCTGGCACTTGGGGGAAAAAAATACCTGAGGCCCCAGGAGTGAGGGAAGGGAAATAATGAATGTACAATTTGTTCCCTAGATGGTGGTTTCTCAACCTTGGCACTATGGATATTTAGGCTAGATAACAGGGGACTTTGCCATACATGGTAGGATATTAGCAGTTATCTCTAAATCTTTACAAATGAGCTAGATACCAGTAGCCCCTTCTCCCCAATTGTAACAGAAATGTCTTCAGACATTGCCAAATATCCCATGGGGTGGTGGTGGTGGGCAGAACTGTCCTCAGTTGGAACCACTGACCTTGACCCCATTCCACTACCTGATTCAAGTGGCAGTTGCAACTATGGGTGTGACCTGCTGCTGAGTTTGCCATTCCTGTCCACGTACTATGGAAACAAAACTCATGTGGATGTGGTTTAACTGATCTGCTGTTCCTGCTGCCATCACAGAAACTCCCTAATCTGAATGTGCAGACACAAAAACCAACACAGTTTTGATTCAACCTGACCACTGATATGCTTTTGATATCTGAGTGGCCTTGGATAACATTATATATGGGAAAGGAAGGTGCAACTATTGGGTGACACGGCCCCTGTGACTAAACTACTATGGAGACAATATAAATCAGATTCATCAAGTCCTGAACTAAATGACTTTGGGGTTATATGTATGTAAGGGGAAAAATGGGCCATGAGATGTCTATTGAAAACTGGGTTTCCTTTTGGGCTCATTTACTGTCCCACTAATTACTGGCAGTGATACCAAAGACTAGCAAATCAGTTTAAACTCTCTTGAATAGGTCATAAGGAATAATAGAGCCTGACCTTAAAATACCTCCTGGCTCCCCAGAGACTTACAGTTCACTATCTGGGACCCTGGAGAAGATGGCAGAGATCAATGCTACATGCTGCCTTCATCTGCTGCTTTGAGTCTTACTGATAATAACCATAATTAAATGGTATATGAGACAAATTTAGTGCATTTGGTTCTAGCCTCTGTTGGCTGGATTAATCAGAATGGCCATCAGAGTAGTTTACTCATGTAAAAATTCAAGTTTGGCCAACAGTGTGTCAGGCTGAGGAGTGAATTGTGAGAGGCAATTTGCCATAGACTGTGAGCATACCTGCACATTCTTGCAGAGTATGCCAAGAATACAATCCCTTGACTGCTCTTTGCCTGGGCCATTTCTCAGGGTTGCCTTTATGTCCTTGTGAGCAACGTTGAGGGATGAGGTAATGTTTCCCCCAGGAAAAAAAGCAGGCTTGCTTCCACTTCTATAAAAGTGGTAAATCTTAGTGTTCCTCTCCTGTAACATAACCTACTGCACAATGGGCCTTTGCATCACCTCACTGGGATTTAGGAGCTTCAGGAACTGACACAAATGAACATGAAACACAGCTATGACTTTTGCTGTAATAAAGTCCTTTGTTTCTGACCTAGTTAGTCTCATGTCTTCTGCCAGCACCCATGAGACTGCCAGGCTAACTTTTTAGCTTACAAGTTGGGTAAAACATCAAGCACCGCACAGTTCCCGATACTTTTCTCCTTCCCAATTATTCTGAAGCGAATCTGACATATCAAACATAAATATTTTAACATGTATCAATTAGCTTTCCATCACTGTAACAAAATACCTGGGAAAATCAACTTATAGAGAAGAAAAGTATATTTTAATTCAGTCTCACAGGTGGTTGCTTGGTTCCCTTGCCTTTGGGTCTGTGGTATCATGGTATATCATGGCAGGTAGCTAAGAAGCAAAGGGGAGATGGGAGGGGGTCCGGGTCTCCATACCCTCTTCAAGGTCGGCCCCCAATGACTTTTAAGTCCCTTCTACTCAGCCCTTCTGCTTTAAAGGTGCCACCACCTCCCAGTAGCACCACAAACTGGGGACACTGAGCCTTTAACACAGGGTCCTTTGTGGGACAGTTCAGACCCAACTACAGCAACCTCTAAAATGAGTCCTTAGAAACACAGCAGCCCGGCATGGGAGTGCACATCTGGAATCCCAGATACTCTGGGATCAATCTCCAGGACACCATAACCGCAAACCTCTAACATGCTTTCAAATTTGATAGTTCCCTGTCATTTGTCACCTGTGTAATGGGCGATTCTCTGTTGGAAGATACTACAGTTTGGATCTGAAATCCTCAGTCTGGGGCATTATTAGGAGGTGGTGGAACCTTTCAAAGGTGATTCCTAGTTGGATGAAGTTGGGTCAGTGGGGGCAGATATTGGGACCCTGGCCCCTTCTCTTGTGTCCCAGCTGCCATGAGGTGAGCGATTTTCTTCACCATGTGCTTCTGCCATGAGGTACTGTGTTGCCACAGGCCCCAAAGTGCCAGGGCCAACCAACGTGGACTGAAACCTTTGAAATCATAAGCCAAATTAAACCTTTCCTCCTTATAAGCTGTTTGCCTCAAGTGTTTTTTTTTTTTTTAATATTTATTTTTTAGTTGTAGTTGGACACAATACCTTATATATTTTTTTAATGTGGTGCTGAGAATCGAACCCAGGGCCTCACGCGTGCCAGGCAAGCGCTCTACTGCTGCGCCACAGCCCCACGCAGCCCTCAGGTGTTCTTAGTAGCAGGCAGTTAACTGACACAGTCCATGATAGGCTATTCGAGTGTGACATCTGTGAAGAGCAAGGACTTGAATTTGCGAAAGCTATCCTAGAGTTAAGGTACAGCAGCTGTCAGCTCCTAAACGTCTGTGATGCTGTAAGTTTTAATTTTTGTGGTACAAGAGCCCTGAATCCAGGGGCACTCTTTTTTGATTTTGTGTTGAGACAGGGTCTTGCTAAGTTATTAAGGTTGGCCTTGAACTTTTGATTCCCCTGCCACAGCCTCTCAAGTGGTTGGGATTATAGGCATGTGTCACCAGGTCCAGCCTCTAATTGTATTCTGTCAAAAGAAAATGTAACTTACTACCATAGCAGAAACTGATAATATCAATAGACTAATAAAACCAACTGCTAAGCTGGTCCTGTGGGCACATGCCTATAATCCCAGGGACTTGGGAGGCTGAGGCAGGAGGATCACAAGTTCAAGGCCTGCCCAGGCAATTTAGTGAGGCCCTGTCTCAAAAAAAAAATTTCAAAAAGGGCTAGGGCTATAGCTCAGTTGTAGAACACTTACCTTGCACATGTGAGGCACTGGATTCAATTCTTAGCACCACATAAAAATAAATAAATAAAATGAAGGTATTGTGTCCATCGATGACTATATCATATATATATCAATAAAACCTTCATTTTATTTATTTATTTTTATGTGGTGCTGAGGATCAAACTCAGGGCCTCGCATGTGCTGAGTGCTCTACTGCTGAGCCACAACCCCAGCCCCATTAAAAAAAAAATTTTTTTTAAAGTTTAAAAAAGGTCTAGAGATATAGCTCAGCAGTTTAGTAAACCTGGGTTTAATCCCCAGTACCAAAAACAACAACAAAAAATCAAAACAGAAAACCAACTGTTAAGGATTTGGAGCAACTACAATTCTCCAAACATTGCTAATGGAATGTAAAATGACACAACCACCTTGGAAAAAATAGGCAGTTTCTTATAAAATTAAAATATATCTGTTCTGTGACCTAATTATTGTTGTTATTATATTTTGCAGTTCTAGGGATGGAACTCAGGGCCTCATGCGTGCCAGGCAAGTGTTCTACCAGAGCTACATCCCTGCCCCATAATCATTATACTTAAAAGATGGAATTTCACAGGCTGGGGATGTGGCTCAGTGGTAGGGTGCTTGCCTGGCAGGCATACGTGTCACCCTGGCTTCAATCCCCAGTGCTCATGGTGGGGGGAAGATGGGATTCTCACTATATTGCCCTCGGTGGCCCCAAACTATGAGCTCAAGTGATCCCATGCTTTAGTTTCCAGAGTACCTGGGACTACAGGTACCCGCCACCGGGCCTGGCCATGACCTAATATTTTTTTCCTAGGTATTTATCCAACAGAAATGAAAAGCTGTGCCCACAAAAAAAAAAAAAAAAAAAAAAGTTTATATCAGCTGGGTGGTGGCACACATCTGTAATCCCAGCAGCTTAGGAGGCTGAGGTAGGAGGATTGTGAGTTCAAAGCCAGTTTCAGCAAGTTAGCAAGGGCCTAAGCAACTCAGGGAGACTCTGTATCTAATAAAATACAAAACAGGGGGCTGGGGATATTGCTCAGTTGGTAGAGTGCTTGCCTCAAATGCACAAGGCCCTGGGTTCAATCCCCAGCACCCAAACCAACCAACCAACCAACCAAACAAACAAACAAAAAAAAAAACGGGCTGGGGATGTGGCTCAGTGGTTATGTGCCCCTGGGTTCAATTCCTGGTACACACACACACACACACACACACAATGTTCACACCAACTTTATTCATAACAGCTAAAAACAATAGGAAAATGACAAACAAAATGTGGTATTCATACATTGAAATGAAAAGAAATGAATTGATGCAACATAAATTTCAAAAGAAGCCAGAGGAATAGACTCTGTAAGATCACATTTTTATGAAATTGGAGAACAGGCAAAACCAATCTGTGGTGATGGAAATCAGACAGTGATGGCCTCTGCAGGGGGCAGGGAGGGAGATGGGGATGGACTGGAAAAGGGTGTGAGGGACTTTCTAAGGCAATGGCAAAGTTCTACGTGTTGGTTGGTGGTGACCGTCGGTATATAATTCTCAAAACTTACAGAATTACTTATTGTGTTAAAAAAAAAAGGATCATTTTATGTAAAAAAAAAAAAAAAAGGATCTAGCTAGGTAGGTGTGAACTTGCTGCATTTCGGGGTCTGTCTGTCTCACTTTGGGGTACGCCGTCTGCACACCACACTAGTCCCTTCTCACCTACTCAGTCCGGAACCAAACCTAAATAGACTTTACTCCCCGCTGTCATGGGCTTCTTGGCTTCCGTGGTGTTCAGGATCTGGACTGCACGTGTCACTCAGCACAGTGGCCAGGGCTTCTCCTCTAGGAGTTGTGTGACCAGTGGTGATGATGATGTCCAACCTTCCAGTGGTCATAGTGTCAGTACATCGATGGCCTGATGGTAGTGAACTTCACTGCCAAATCCAAAGAGGAAAACTCTCGCCTTCTTTATTGGATGGCAGGTTTTTGGGGACCACTGGGTGCAGGGTTCTGCTCTGCAGCTACATTTGAGAATACAATGCTGATTTTCATCTTCCCTGAGGTACTCGGCTTCCTGTCTGGTCTCATCACCACCCTAATTTTCCTCAAAAACTAGTCTGTTTCTGTGTCCATCAACTGGACTATGATAGAGAGGCACTCCACCTCCTTCCAGCAGCAACCTGCACAGGGCCCACTATCCCACTGGGTAGGGGGCTTCGCATTGCACAGGGTTGTAGTACTCTATGTGTTCATTCCAATCCACCCCTGACCCCTTCACTGCAGTGCTGAGTCTCACCACAGCCCAGCGAAGTCCTGTGACCGGCACAGATGCAGGCCTTTGCTCCCTCACATTCACCTGCCCTTAGGATGCTGTCTATACATAGCAACTAGGTAACATTTTTGTCACTTTTTTTTGCTGGCTGTGGGGGGGGGGCAGATTGAAACCAGGAGGGCTTAACCTCTGAGCCACATTCCCAGCCCTTTTTATTTTTGAAATAGTCTTGCTGAGTTGCTTAGGGCCTTGCTAAGTTGCTGAGGCTGACCTCAAACTTGTGATCCTCCTGCCTCAGCCTCCTGAATCACGGGAATTATAGGCGTGTGCCACTGCACATGGCCTCTTTTCCTTTCTTTAACCTCCTATCAATTTTATATTCTGTCATCCATTCATGTATCTAGGCAACATTTATTAAGCATCTATGAGATGCAAAGCATTTCTTTGAAGCATTTATAACAGTAACCTTAGGCAAAATCATTCAGCCTCTGCAGGCTAAGCTCAGCTCTCCAAAGACCCCTTGGTAGTTTAACAGGAAGAATTTGCAATTAAGGGAGTGGCCCCTAGATGGTGGTATTGTTCTGAGTGAGGCTCTGGATTTTTTTCCTTTCTTATTTACAGTGAAGTAAAAAGACAGGCTAGAAAATGATTTCTCATTAGTTCTATAAAACTTCACTGCTTAAGAATTCACTCAGTGGCATTCAAAATGGCATTGTATCATGAGTCGTGTGGCCTGTGTGTATTTGACATTAATTAAAAGGAATAAACCATTAATGATCATATCAAAGTGAACATATTTCCTTATTATTAGCCCATATACCCATCAGTATTTTCTCTGGGTATATTTATCTAACCTTAAGAAAATGAATAAAATTTAAATGGTGATTGTTAAGAGCATTGATTTATAACCCTATAGAAAAAATCTTTTCAAATACTAGTTGTAATAATCAAGTTTTATAAATAAACTGACTTCTTTCATTCTGAATGTTAGAGATTAATTTCCAGGCCTGGGATTTCCAGCCATGAAAACAAGGGTGCCTTTTAAAGAAATATGCTGTCTTTTAGTGTTCAAAGGCTAATACATAATGTGGCTTCTTCAGTTTTAACCTAACAATGAGAAAGGATTCAGAGATTCAGGATTTGAGCAGGCTTAGATGAACAATATCAAGTTTCCACTTAACATTCTTTAAAGGAAACAAAATGTATTCCTATTTCTTTCCTATAAAACTAACTGGGCATAAATATGTTTCTACTTAAACATGGTTGAGTCTCACCTTGAATTCAATCAATATTCAGAATAATAAATTATCTATGAAAACCCACTGGTAATATTTTTGCTTTCTATCTGCTCAGTGGGAAATAAATGGCAAGCAAAAACCAGAACATAATAGAGGCAAATCATACATAACTGGATTTTGTTTCAATATAGATTTTTGCCAATGAATTAGAGAGAAAAGATAGTGTGTAGATCTAAGATAGTATTGCTATAGGTGAAATTCACCCACCCACCCATCCATCTATCCAACCAACCAAGCAACCAACCTATATGGTCCAAGGGATTTGAGATATGAAGATAAGAAGATGCCATTTCCAATCTCAAAAATTCAGTCTAGTCTAAGAAAGGGACTTGGAAAAGTTCAGTTCGGTTTATTATAGTGTCAAGTAGATTTACAACTATTGCACTTATCATTCTGCTTACAGAAGGCCAACATTAAGGGGGATATTTTTCTCCAAAAGAGATAAGTTTTCAGAATCTTCAATATGTTAAAATTACACAGGCAAAGATAGAAACCTCATGTCCCTTTCCCTAGCCCTGACCCCTTCCTGCTGTTGTACAGCTTGCTGCCAATGAAAATTTTAGTTTGGATAATGGTTTAAAAGTCATCCCTTTCTCATTAAATGACCTTTAAGTGAAATTGGACAAGAATTCTCTTTATACTCTCTTCCTCACTCCAAACATAGAAAACACAGCTCCCATACTCCAAAATCAAATGTAACCAATAAACCTTGGAGGTGAACTTCACTCAAAGACCAAGTAAATATTACTTCCTTCCAGACTCCACGTGGCATTCAGGTCAAGTGCAATCACTGGCTGCCCAGCTTTTGGGCAATGGGAGAAAACGACAGAGGCTCAAAAGTGGTCCAGCATATAAAATTCTTCTCAAAAACAGAAGAAAGTCATGAACATTGTTGGGAAAGTGTTCTACATTTTCAAGAAATTCTATTCTACTGATGTGTTTGGAAGATTGTCTTCAACCTATTTGGCTTTAGCCCATCAGCTGTAACTGATTCAGTCATGTGAAGAACCACTTTTATCTTAAGCTTTGCAATGTATAACAATGGATGAAAGGAAAGTGGTTTTTTTTTTATTTACTCTAATAATTGTGCTGAGAAGAGCTGGAGGGGGGCGTGGCTGGTGGAAAGTACCAGCCTTCAGTTCTCTTAAATTATTTTTCATTCTGATTATATTGCGAATAAATGAGTGGTGGGGGTTGACACTGTTTTTCATCTTAACCGTTGCTCTGCATTCAAAGATGCTCTATGTGATTCATAATGTCCTACCATAACAAGACACAGCTTTTATATATTACTGGGGTAATGCAAAGAAAATGAATTTTCCTTTGGGTACCAGTAATTGTCAAAGGAATGACTGCAGATTCAGAGAATGTGCTTTATAATAACCCTGTTAACATAAAGCATAGACTGAGCAAAGAAAAACCATGGCATGTGTGTGGAAGAGTCAGCTGCATTAGCAAGGCATCTTGGGGATGGTTTGGGCTTTTTTGACTAAGATACATCCAATTTTGACCCCCTTCAGCTCCTTGGACCAAGAGGAAACTGTTACATAGGAGCATTTGCTGAGTGTGAGCTGACTTTGCCATGTGCTTAGAAATGCTCCAACTAGTTAATAAACTCTCTCTCTCTGCCCTGGTACTAAGGCTAATGTGCTCAGGCTGTTAGAAATAATTTGAATATCAAAAATGAAATTGAGATTACCAACCATGTCCTGATAGTTACAGCATATAGAATGTCAAACGTCCTCTTTTTAAACTAAAGTAAAAATGAAGAAGCATGGTTAATTCATTTGTGCTGATTAAAACACACCGCCAAGTGCAACTTGGGTTTGCAGCCACTCCATGCGGCTGAGTCACCAGACACTCTCCCTGGGGGAGGGGGGACATGTGTATCTGCCTTGCTAATCCCTCCAGGTGTCTTCCTAGCCCATGTGCACACTCCCACTGTGAAGGAAAGCTAGCTACAAAACCTAGAAGTTTTCTGCTTTCAGAAAATTCTAGTGTATCGTGTACACCTCAGGTATTTCTCTTTCTGCTTAAAAAAATAGTGCAAAAACATCTGATAGTCAAAATGATAGTTCAAGCAAGTTTTCGTGCCAGGGAACAGTGGAGCTTCACCTTTAGCTGACTTGTAGAATGTGAACGTAGTTTTTGGGAAATATTCCAGATTTTCCCATTAGTTCTCCACTCATCCAGTCGTCATCTACAGATTCCAGCTCTGTTATTATATCCCCAGCCTGTAATAAGACAGGAATTGGAAATAAGTATTGGTTTCTATTGGATCTAAGCATGGTAAGTAGCCTACCTGGAATGGCATGAATAGTCTCCCCTCTTTTTAGAATCAAATATCTTGATTTGCACGGAGAATTCAATGACATGCCACAGAAATGATCTACACCTACTGATGATACCATTTGCTTCCCTATTTGTCTTCCTCAAACCCTAGTCCCTCGCCATTATCAATTTTGCTGCACTTTGATTTTCATGCTAATAAATTGGTGGTGGTTGGGGGCAGTACCAGGGATAGAACTTAGGGGAACTCAACCACTGAGCCAGACCCTTATTTTATATTTATTTAGAGACAGGATCTCACTGAGTTGCTTAGCACCTCACTTTTGCTAAGGCTGGCTTTGAACTCATGACCCTCCTGCCTCAGCCTCCTAAGCAGCTGGGAATATAGGTGTGCGCCATGACGCATAGCTCTGCTTATAATTTTATGATTCCTAAAGTTACCACCACCAATTGAGAATCCTTCTTGAATAAATGACAATATCAGCCATACATACACATACACATGTATTTTCATCTAACATTTACTGAGCACCTAGTATGTGCCACTCATTGTTCTGGGCACTATGGAAATAGTAAATAGGCATCATTCTCAAGTGGGAAGACATAAGCAGAGCAAAGCAGACAATATGGAGTTGCTGCCTCATTGGGGTAATCAGAGAGGGTCCCATGGAAGAACAACACTATACAAAGCCTTGGAATGAGAGTGAGCCATGTGCTTACTGGCTGCCTGGTCCTAGTCTATGCACTTTACACAGGAACTAATTCAATTTAAACAATACCATAGTCCCAGAGATGGCCATCATTATTATTGTCCTCATTTTAGAGCTACATTTTTATATATTTATTTTAAAGAAAACGAAACTAGTCGCTGGGCGTGGTGGTGCATGCCTGAAAGCCCAATGGCTGTAGAGACTGAGGTAGGAGGATTGCAAGTTCAAAGCAAGCATGAGGGGTGCCTGGGGCTGTGGCTCAGCGGTAGAGCGCTCGCCTAGCATGTGCAAGGCCTTGGGTTCAATCCTCAGCACCACATAAAAATAAATAAATAAAATAAAGGTATGTGTCCAACTACAACCAAGAAATAAATATTAAAAAAATAAAGGTATTGTGTCAAACTACAACTAAAAAAATATTTTTTTAAAAGAAGTTAAGCATCTGCAGTTTAGCAAGGTCCTAAAACAACTCAGCAAGACTCTGTCTCTAAATAAACTACAAAAAAGGATAAAAAAGGGCTGGGGATGTGGATCAGTAGTTAAGCATCCCTGGGTTCAATCTCTGGTACCAAAAAAACAAAACCAAACAAAAACCAACCAAACAAAAAACTAGTAGTGCTCGGAGAGACTACGTAACTTGCCTGTATCACATGTGTGAATAGTAGCAGAACCAGAATTCAATTCCAGAGTGATTCTAAGGCTGAGATTCTAGGTGGTAACCACATTTTACACTGGATCTTTTTGCTTAGGTTCTTACTGTAATTGCTTTTTAAACATCCTGAGCATTTGTCCTGTACATAATGATATTCATCCTCCACCATTTGGTTTTTTGCATTCCTCCATGGCTGAATATCAAATCTACATTTCCCCCCTTATCTTAAGAGCTTCAACCTGATTCAGAACACTCACTGATCTTCACCAGGTTAGTCAAAGGGGCAGAGTCTCATTCATGTGCAAAAGAGAATTCTTCTAGAAGATGAAGACATTAACTATTTTGCTCTTTATGGTAACTAACCATTTTGGGATAATCTGGGTTTAAGATTTTACAATGGTCCAAGGTGACCCTGGATACTCTTTAAAATAACTTTATCAGGTTACATGGGTTTATTTGCAGCCCTAGTCATTGCCCTCTAAAAACAATGGTTTGATTTAAAGCTCCCCTACACTATTACTGGAGATTTAACCCAGGGACTCTTTACCATGAACTAAGTCCCCATTCCTTTTTATTTTATTTATTATTTTTTAAACATTTATTTTGTTTTTAGTTGTGGATAGACAAAATATCTTTATTTTATTTTTATGTGGTGCTGAGGATCGAACCTAGTGCCTCCTGCATGCTAGGCAAGGGCTCTACCTCTGAGCCACAACCCCAAATCCTTCTTTTTATTTTTTTTTAAAAATATGTTTTTATTTGTGGATGGACACAATGCCTTTATTTAATTAATTCATTTATTTTGATGTGGTGCTGGGGATCAAACCCAGTGCCTCATACTTGCAAGGCAAGGGCTCTGCCACTGAGCTACAATCTCAGCCCTCTTTTTTATTTTTTACAAGAGGATCTCCCTAAGTTGCTGAAGGCCTCACCAAATTACTGAGGCTGGCCTTGAACTTGTAATCCTACTGTCTCAGCCTCCGAAGATTTAAAGCCTTTAATTATGGAAAATGGAAAGGAAACATTTTGATTGTCAGACATCATTAATCTATTCTGCTAAACTCTGTAAAATTCTGGCTATTCGCCAGGTGTGGTGGCACACACCTGAAATCCCAGAGGAGGATCAAGAGTTCAAAGCCTCAGCAACTTAGTGAGGCCCTCAGCAATTTAGTGAGACCTGTCTCTAAGTAAAATACAAAAAAAAGGCTGGGGATGTGGCTCAGTGGTTAAGTGCCACTGGTTCAATTTCTGGTAACTCCCTCACCCCCCAAAAAAGTAAATTCTGGCTATTCAGTTCTGTTACAAATAAGTTCCTTCTGGTTCCTAAATTATAGTATAATGTTTGACTGAAGCTATTTTTCTTAGCTCTGTTTCATACCTACACACCATGTCAATTTACTGAGAGGATTATTTTTTTAAAAGAAATTCTTTTTTTTTAAATAGACAAATATTTAAAAAAAAAATATTTGTTTATTTGTATGTGGTGCTGAGGATTGAACCCAGGGTCTCATATACGCCAGGCAAGTGCTCTACCGCTGAGCCACAACCCCAACCCCTTAAAAGAAGTTCTATCTACTAACATTCTCTGGATATTTAATAAAATATTAATGACTAACACCACTGAAAGCAGTAAAGAATCCCTCTAAAAAAATCTAGCACTGTTCTGACTTTGAGTCATTTATTTGTGAAATGAAGACAACCTGTTCATTGAAAGTACTATAAATTCTGTTATTTCAATCGACATAACTTAAAGGAAGTAATACTCAAAAAATTGGAATTCAGATTCTTCACTTGCAGTAATATTTTATGAAAAAATAAGGAATAAATTCTGAGCCACTGATTCACAAGACTGAAGAGGACTTGGGCAATGTTTCTAAACTTTTGGATTTTAAGGATCAAGATATTTAAAAAAAAATACTAATATAGAGTTAACAACTGAATTTTGCATAGTTAGGATATAGGAAATTATCTATCACTTACTAAAACGGTTTATAATAGAAATGGCATTTCAATATGAAAACGTCAGAAGAGCATTCTCAAAGGATAAGTCTATCCTGAAGTAGGAAAGGTAGCAACCTTATTCTAACACACCTCTGTCCACCTCCCTTACTCCCCCAACGTCTAATACCTAATAGTGCCTTATTTTCCTCATTCTGTTACAGACAAGTAAAAACCTTATTTGGGCACCCAAGGTCTCAAGTCTCATCTCCTCTCATCAGTCCTTCAGGCTGAATACCCTCCACATGGAGACTTGACCTTTGTCTCCCACAGGCTATGCTGACAGTAATGACTACTGAAATCTCCCTCCCCCTCCTCTAGCACACAGTCCCCAGGGCACTGTCCTGGGTGTTTTTCCCTGACCATGGCCCAAGGGAAATAGAATCATGGAAATAATCCATTTTCACTTTAAGAAAAATTAAGAGGTAACTTCTTTTTTTCTTTTATATTTTAGTTATAAGTGGACACAATATCTTTATTTTACTTTCATGTGGTGCTGAAGATGGAACCCAGTGCTAGGCAAGCGGTCTACCTCTGAGCCACAATCTCAGCCCAAGAGGTACTTCTTTTTTTTTTTTTTTTAAACAGGAAAGAAAATTTTATTGAAGAATATTACAATAGGAAAAATAAAATTGAACTCAACTTCCCTTAAACAAAAAGCAGGAGAGGTTTTAAGCTCTGGGTGAACTTGTGAAAATGTACTGAGAGACACTGATAGGTGTCTAATAGGTACTTCTTTGGTAAAGTAAGATTAGGGATATTTTAGGCTTTAAAAAAAAGAAAGAAAAAGAAAACTAGCTGGGCATGTTGGCGCACACCTGTAATCCCAGCAACTTGGGAGGCTGAGGCAGGAGACTCTCGAGTTCAAAGCCAGCCTCAGCAACAGCGAGGCACTAAGCAACTCAGTGAGACCCTGTCTCTAAATAAAATAAAAAAAATAGGGCTGGGGATGCAGCTCAGTGGTCAAGTGCCCCTGAGTTCTATCCCTAGTACCAAAACAAACAAACAAACAAACAAACATCTTTGAAAGTAGGTTAGCATTTTGGAACTAAAACCGCAAAGCTCTGTTGAATGTCTCTGTGGACAAGACACAGTGTCTTCTGAGCTACAATGCCACAATGGCAAACTGTAGCAGCTGTCACCTGTTTCTTCACTGATTTCTTTTTTTTTTTTAATATTTATTTTTTAGTTATAAGTGGACACACAATATCTTTATGTGGTGCTGAGGATGAGCCCAGTGTCTCACGCATACTAGGCAAGCACTGTACCTCTGAGCCACAACCCCAGCCCCTCTTCACTGATTTCAAAGGCGTGTTGGTAGCAGGCTGAGAGGGCCATGCAGAGGATTGCCCTTTATTAGAGCAGCTAATGGAAACTACCAGATTACCAAGAACCGAGGTTATAACAACAAGAATAAGGAATTACTTTGAGGGCTGTGAGATTATTAAGTCAAGTTTTCTTGAAGAACCTTCATGTCTGGTTGATAATGTAAATTATTAGTTCTATTTGCCTAATGCACTTTCTCTACTCCTTCCCTTAGAATGAAAGTGTGAGATTCCTTCAGTCTTAGGTAACGATTACTATCCCACCCAATGGAAGACACTTCAAAAGGAACAGTGCTTACTCCAGGTATACAAAGATACACATTCTGACCTTGAAGGAGAGCTCGTCTTCATTCTCCCCCTGGAAATCATACAAGGCTTTGGCCTTTCTCCCCTTCAGTGATATGGCAGACATACTTTTTGCCTCAGCTGTAAAAACATGAAAAATTCCAATGTATGGAAACACAATGGACTAAAACACTAATCGAGTATTTCAAGAACCCCCCTGTCCTTCTCAGAATAGAACATCTTCAATTTATTTTGAATTAACTTGCAAAAAGATGAAGGATGTTCTCTTAGTAGAAAACAATTATGTAAAATATATTTAACAGACATAATCAGCCATTATTCAGTGAAGGCAGTTTTATATTTTTTATAACTCTAACAAAGTAGACTATGAATGAAGTTTGCATAACTTTATGGATGAACTCTTTCAAATAACTTAAACTAACATGGCTGGGGAAAAGGAATATATATGAGGCCTCTGGTTCCCCTTGAAGAGTAAGGGCCATGTCTTGTAGCTGTCATACCTGGACAGGGCTGCACAAAAACTGCTGGGAAGATCCCCTCTCTGTCGTGCAGTCTGCCCCGATACCAGTCGGAGTCCAGACGCTTGAGGATCAGGATCCGGTCCCCCCTCTTGAAGGATAAGTCCTCACTGGTTTCTGCTGTAAAACTGTGGAGAGCTCTGCACCATTCTCCAGAAAGGCTGTTGTCCTGTTATGAAGCAAAAGGCTGGTAAGAAATGTGAGTTTATGTTTCAAATCGAGTTCTACAAAGCTCGAAAAATGGTGAGGTTGGGCCCTGGCATTCCAGCTACTCAGGGGGTTGAGGCGGGAAGATTTCAAGTTCAAGGCCAGCGTCAGCAATTTAGCAAGAACCTGTCTCAAAATAAAAAAGTGCTTGGGGTGTAGCTCAGAGATAAAGCACCCCTAGGGTTGATCCTTGGTACAAAAAAAGAGAAAAAAAGTGGCAGGGGTGGGGGGGATAATAAAAACTAAGGGTCTTTAAGATTTCAAAGCCTGAAGTCTTCTTAAATTACCCAATATTTTATGTTCCTATTAAGTTTCAGAAATAAAAGTTTCTGATAATTTTTTAAGTATGTTGACACCAATTCATGTCTTCATACATGTACTTTGTTTTTTTTGGAGAATTTTAATATTTATTTTTTAGTTACTGGTGGACACAACATCTTTGTTTGTATGTGGTGCTGAGGATAGAACCCGGGCCGCATGCATGCCAGGTGAGCGCGCTACCGCTTGAGCCACATCCCCAGCCCAGCTTTTTTCTTAAATATAATTTTAAGGGTTGGGATTGTGGCTCAGTGAGGCACTGGGTTCGATCCTCAGTGCCACATAAAAATAAATAAATAAAATAAAGGTGTTGTGTTCATTTACAACTAAACACAAAAACAAAAGCACACTGGCATGAAATTCACATAACACAAGTAATCATCTTAAAAAATATATAATTTTAAGCTAGGCGCAATGGCACTTGCCTGTAATCCTAGCAGCTTGGGAGGCTGAGATGGGATGACCTTGAGTTCAAATCCAGCCTCAGCAAGGACGAGGTGTTTAACAACTCAGTGAGACCCTGTCTCTAAATAAAATACAAAATAGAGCTGGGGATATGGCTCAGTGGTTGAGTGTCCCAGAGTTCAAAATTCCTGGTACCCTCTCCAAAATTAAAAAATATATATATAATTTTAAATAAAATACTATTTTATTGCTGCTTTATTATATTTTCTTGATTACTAGTAAGGTATCAGCCACTTACAACTTTTTTATGAATTCTCCAATTGTGTCTTTTTCCTCTTCTTCCTTTTTTTTTGTTTTTTGGTACTAGAGATTGAATCCAGGGCCACTTACCTACTGAGCCACATCACCAACCTTTTTTTTTAATTTTTAATTTTGAGACAGGGCCTTACTAAATTACTGAGGCTGCCTTAGGATCTGGGATCCTCCTACCTCAGCTCCTGAGCCACTGGGATGATTACAGGTGTGTCTGCCATTTCTGTTTTCTTCAAGAGACAACGTGTGCTTCATTGCCCAGGCTGGAGTGTCTGGCTATGTACAGTGCAACTCCAGTGCTTGAAGCACGTGCAAGCTGGTAGGTCCTATGAGGCCACCGTATCAGTGCTCAGCTTAGTATGGACACCCAATGGGCATAACACACTACGGCCTTCAACTTGGGGCTCAAACAATCCTCCTGCCTCCACCACTGGGTTCCTGGGACGACAGGGAATACCACCAGTGGATGGCTTCTTTCCTCATTTTCTGTCAGGATCTATATGTCTTTGAATAAGCTCTATGTATAATATTACATTGAATTAATCGTCTTACTATTTAATTTATTACAAACATTTGCTATATGAATTGAAAAATGATTTCATACTGTTTTCTCTTGGTAATTGTAATTTTTTTTTTAAAGAGAGAGAGAGAGAATTTTTAATATTTATTTTTTAGTTTTTTCAGCGGACACAACATCTTTGTTTGTATGTGGTGCTGAGGATCGAACCCGGGCCGCATGCATGCCAGGTGAGCGCGCTACCGCTTGAGCCACATCCCCAGCCCCTGGTAATTGTAATTTTAATATTCCTCTCAGGGTTTAAAGCTGGCTGTCCCAACAGTCACCCACTCCAACAGCCTACCTGAGAATGTAAGCCAGAATCTTCTTTTTTGGTCTTTGGTGGTATCTTTGTTCCTACATTAAAAACAAAAGGTCAAAATGTCAGATGAGAAGACCACTGGTATTAGAGAAAAACGTTTAGGTGGGGGTGGGAGGCGAAAGTCTGGAATTCCAGACCAGTGTCTTCAGTTATTAGCTATGTCCCTTGATCTCTAATCCCCTCTCTGGGATTGTTTTATTACTCTAAAGTGAAGAAGGATACACATTAATTAAACTGTATAGCTCATGTGTTTAAGAAATCCTGGCCACTTTGTAAATGACACTATTGTTAATTAACCTAAAACAACAAAATCAGCTCAGAGATGATCACAGTAATAGCTATCCATATAAATCATCACTTAAAATATTTCCCCTTCTACCTTAAAAATATGTCCATGTGGATTATACAACTTAAGTATTATTAAGTATTATCATATTATTAGCTTATTTAAATTAGAATATGACATAATTTTTTAAAAACCCATATTTTCTATACTCACTTAAAACATTTGCACCAGAGGTGGAATAATCCTCAACAAGTTCCACGAAGTTAAGGGGGAAGATCCCAGTTCTGTCTTGAAGCTCTCCTCTTGCCCATTCCTCATTCATGTACTCTTTAAGAATAATCATTTCTCCCTCTGAGAAACTTAACTCATCCTTCTGGTCTCCAATATATTCAAACCGAGCAACACATCTTGTATTTCTGAACAAAGAACACATCTGTGGGTTAAACTGGAGAATACTGATTTTTTTTTTGAGGAGGGGTGCTGGGTATGGAATCCAGAGGTGCTTTGCCATTGAGTACATACCCTACTCTTTTTGTTTTTTATTTTAAGACAGGGTCTCACTAAGTTGCTAGGGCCTTGCTTAGTTGCTGAGGCTGGGAATGGAACTCAGGAGCATCCCAAACCCCTGGGACTGCAGTTAATATAAACATATAAAAGATTTTAACTAGGTTTATTTTCAATTCTAGAACTGGGGCAACACTTCACTCCATAAAACAGTACTAACTTCTAAAATGCTTCAAAACCTTCACTCAGTCTTTCAATAGACACTTATTCTGTGTTTAATATGGAACAAGGTATATTTTGGATAATTTTAACATTTTCCATGAAAAAGAGTAAGTGACACATCTAAAGGACAGCGCTTACTGTTTGGATGTGAGCTGATTCACTCAGAAAGCTCAAGGTCACAGAATACACGCAGAGGAACAGAGAAGCAGCTGAATGGTTGGTTCATGCTGCCATGCCTGTCTTTTGATCATTTTTACTTCATTACAAAATCATTCTAGACTCCATGTGTTTGTGGGCCACACCAATCCATGATCCCGCCCGCAGCCTTTCAATCACAAGTGCATTTGGTTTAGGGGCCCTATCCCAAGAATCTCAGGGCAAAGACACCAAACTGCCTGAGCAAGAATCAGGGCAGCACGCAGTAGCTTCAGATGGGCCCATCAGTCGATGAGTTGAATGTATAGATGAATGGCCTCACAAATTGGAAAGGTTGGAAGAAAACAGAAATTTGGTACTTCAAAACATGTAATCTACCAACTCTGTTCCTTTATGAAATGATTTTTATATCTCCTTTAAAAAAAGGCTTTGTTTATGAGACTTGGAACAATCCTTAAGTGGTGTACAATTTTGACCAAAAAGAACATAAAAGCAGAGCCAACTTGTGTCTCTAGAAGGTCTGATTTAATATCAAACCTTTGATTTGAAACTTCAGGAAGGAAGTTTCTATAGCAAGGTGTTTGAAGAGAACAGGTGGATCCTGGATCCACTCAAGTTCTGGTTGAAGTCAGGTCAGTGGATCCACGGCTGTTCAAGCCTACTTTAAATTAAACTGTTGATATGGTCCGTGCTGCTCAAAAACAGGAGAAAAGTGGAACCTGAAACTGAATTCACTGCTGTGGCAACGGAAGTTTTCTTATTTGTGATAACCTTTGCATTTATTTTCTCAAGTCCCCTGGGAGCATCTCCTTATGTCTGACCTATTCATCGACAGGTTTACAGTCACCTGCAGGTAGTGAATTCTATTAATTTGCTCATTTTACTAGAATATAAAGTTGCATTTTGGCAGGGTTTTAAATCACCAAGGAGTTACAATGATGCATAAAAGGGTTTATAAATTCAAGCAAAGGTCTTTAGACATACAGAAAGATCCCTTCAACTTAACTCTTCCTTTATTTTCTTCTAGTTCTTTTTGAAAGCAAAATAATACAACATGTCTAGCAGGGATTTTTTTTTGTTGTTGTTGTTTTGTGGTCCTAGCCACAAAACCCAGGGCCTGGTTTGTACATTACCAGGCAAGTGCTCTACCACTGAGGCTACACCCTCAGCCCCATCTAGTGGTTTTCGTATGACCCACATTTCTGTAAGATTCAAACGTTTTTCCTGACAAAACAGTTGAATCTTATACTAGAAGGCCAACAAACCATCTCTGCCCAGGCCAAAGCCAGACCTTAGAGGCAGCAGGCTTGGCTCCCCCAGCAGCTCTCTGCAAGCACTGGATGGACAGCTACTATCAACACACAGAATTTTCAGCAAAACCTGAACCCACTTTGGCTTTTTTAAAAAACAAAGCTTTCCTCCTAATTAAAAACAAAAAAAAAAAAAAGAGAGAGAGAGAGAGAGAATCTGAATATTACACACTGGAAGTGTTTAAGCTTGGTAATTCTTCATGATATAAATTCTTACTTCCTCTATATTTCATGCAAAGGAACATACATAGAACTTACTTAACACAATGAGATGAAACAGATTCTCTTTTCCCATTTTCTCCTTCTGGAATATCAACCTAGTAAAGACAAAATCATGGTAACAATTGTATTTTTTTTTCCAAACTTCAATAAGATATATATCTATATATATTCTGTTTATTTTCACTTATATTGAGGATTGAACTCAAGAGTGCTCTACCTTTGTGCTACATCCCCAGTCTTATTTATTTATTTATTTAATCTTGAGACAGGTCTCTCTGAGTTGCCCAGGCTATCCTTGAACTTGCCATCTTCCTGCCTCAGCCTCCAGAGAGGCTGGGGTTATAGGCATGCGCCATCACACCAGGCTGGACTTTAGTAGGATAAATTTCAGGCCAAGAAGTTAGGAAATGCATGACTGAAATTAACTAGTTTAACTAGGTGTTAAACTTGTTATACCACAGGTGCTAAACAGCAAAAAATCCAGCATATGGATTTTGGGAAAAATGTACAGCTTGTGAAGTAGCCCTCCTTGAGTCGGCGATCAACCCTTCTCTTATTTGCTGGGATAAGCACATTCAGATTCTACTTCTGACTGAGTTTTCTCTAAGCTTGGTTCTCCAAGATGAAAACTTCAGCTGAGAAGGATTTAAGAAAGGAACCAGCCATTAAGGCATTAATGCTGTCGCACATGGGCACTACCACACCCGTTCACATCGACAGCAGGATTCTGAATTACTCTTCAAACCCCCAAACAAAACAATTTGACCAAACTTGTGGATCCTCTTCATATCCATAACTGTGGAACATCTTTTTTTCCCCCTTCAATGTGAATAGGGAAAGAAGAAAGGTATTCACCTAAGTGAGCATGTACTAACTGGCAGGCACTTTATATATAATCTACAAGGCTCAAAGGAGCTGGGCTGTAATAAAATTGTTGGCCATATATACGCAGTCTGAAACTACTTAAGGCTATGAGGTTTATATTAAATAAATCAGTACCCTTCTTGATGAATTCTACCAAGTTCGAAGTTTTAAAACAATTTTTTAAACTTGTGGGCTTAGAAATAACATTTATACCAATAATGTGGCAGGCTTGCTGTGATTGATTTCAGTGTGGTAATTGTGCTTTTTAAAGTACTGCTCCATTGGGCAGAAGAAAAATGAGGAAGAGTGCTAAAACCAACATTATTCTTAATATTAATTTAGAGAATGTGGTTTGAATTTCTCCAAAGAATCAGGCCATATATACACTGGACAATTTTAAGAATGGCATTTTGTAATCCAAGAGACACACTCATTTCTACTTGAAAAATACACATTTCCTGTTATACTTGTTTCAGATGTAATGGAAAATTGCTCTCTTCTCCCCTATAAGATGTGGAAGCGAAACTAATTTTTTTTGCGGGGGGGTGGTGAAGGATACCAGGGATTGAACTCAGGAACACTAGACCACTAAGCTACATCCCCAGTACCCCCCTTTTTGTATTTGGAGACAGGGTCTCACTGAGTTGTTTAGAGCTTCACTGTTGCTGAGGCTGGTTTTGAACTCATGATCCTCCTGCCTCTGCCTCCCAAACTGCTGAGATGACAGGCATGCGCCGCTGCACCTGGCTGAAGCTGAATTATTTAAGCTAGAGTTATTGATATTTCATAGTATTTATCAATAAGTCACATGGGGCTGAGTCATAATCTTCCTATGGATACAAATGTTCAATGGGCAATCTTTTTTTTTTTTTTTTTTTTTTTTTGTGGTGCTGGGGATTAAACCCATGGCCTTATGAAGGCGGGACAAGCACTCTAACAACTGAGCTATATCCCCAGCCCTCAATGGGCAATCTTGTTTTATCCTCATGTTGCACAGTCATCTGGTCTTAGCACATGAAGCTCCAACACACAGGTAGGCACTCCAAGTTAGGCTGTGAGGGCGTATGCAATACTGATGCTTTAATATAATTTTTTCCTAATCAAATTTGAAATTATTATGTGAAAAACCATTAATGAACCATTAGGTCCAATAACTAGATTAGTATCACCCCAATTTTTTTTTTGAAAGATGGAGATAAATAGGAAAAGAAAAGAAAGAAGCCAAAAATAAAATGTACTCCAAAGAAAATGAGAAGTGGTACCATAACCTTGCAAACATTTCTTTCAGGACAGTCTGGTACCATTTAATTCATGTTCACTAAAAGTCTCAAAGAATTAACATATCATGAAGTGTTTAACAACCCAGGAATAGGTGGTTCACCAAGTGGCCTGTGTGGCATTCACTTTTGGATTCAGATGGCATTCAGGTATTACGTTCTAAGACCTCATCATCTAAGAAAAATGATCACTCATTACTGAAATAACTCTTGACTTTTGAACTTCCCAAATGACAAATTAATCAATGGAAGGGAGAACTAGAACTCCAGAATCTAGGCTTCTGGTCGCTTTTTAGCAATCTGCAAGTCACTTGGAACCCACTGAATATGGGACCAATTAAAATGAGCACATGTCACTTACGATTACTTTGACATAGTTGGCAGGAAATACGCCAGTCTGGCTTCTGCATTTCCCTCTGTACCAATCTGTGTCTATTTTTTCAAGAAGATAAACAATTTCTCCAGATGTGAGATTCAAATCGTCATCTTGCTCTGTAACAGCAGATCACAGTTACGTATGATAAATTATCCTGATTGCATATTTCATTAAAGTCGAGAACAAAGAGGCATTTAGTTCTGCCCATGGAGGCCCTACATTCTACTGACTCTGACAGAGCACACTAACCAAACTTATTGAAAATATATATTTTGAAAATTTTCATGATATAAGCTCCTCCTAACATCAAACTAGACATATCTACTATGCAATGATTGATGGGAAATGGTGATAAAAAAACAAACAACCATTGTGCTGGCCAGTGATTCCTACTGTGCCAATAAAAACCTCTTGCTGAATGCACACTGAACAATGGAAGGGTTTTATAGACATGGTATAATATTATCATTATTCTCAATCATGCTTAAAAATCACTTTAGCCTCAAATATTAACTAAGGGAGTCCTATAGCTCTAAGTAAATTTTCCCTCACTGAGATAAAAATCAGTCTACCAAATGGATTAAAAAGATGTCATAAATAAATCAAGTATTTATTTTCTTTTTAGCCTTGAATATGAAGGGTATTTTAAAAATTACAAAAAATTAACTTTTGTGTGCATGTGTATGGTACTAGAGATTGAACACCGATGAAGCACAGAGCTACATCCTCAGTCCCACCTCCACTTTTCTAAAATTTTGAGACGAGTTCTTGGTAAGTTGTTGAGGCTGGCCTCAAACTTGTGATCTTCCTGCCTCGGCCTTCTGAGTTGCTGGGATGACACCATATCTGGCCAAAAATTTAATAGTTTGATCTCATAGTTCAATAGTACGTAAGACAACTCTTGGGACTAAAGAACTTAATTTATTAAATTATAATTAACTACATTACAATTGTTAATTAGTATCCACTACAAGTTTGTAACTGCCAGACACTTTGCTTTGTTTATTTACATGAGAAACTCCCTCTCAGAGAGTATCAAAGGCAAGGTATGCAACTAAGCTTTCTTTTTTTTCTTTTTTTGGTACCAGGCACTGAACCCACGGGGGCTTACCCACTGAGCCACATCCCCAGCCCTTTTTATTTTTTCTTTAGAGACAGGGCCTTACTAATTTGCTTAGTGCCTTGCTAAAATGCTGAGGCTGGCTTTGAACTCATGATCCTCCTCCTCCCTCAGCCTCCCAAGCCCCTGGGATTATAGTTGCGCACCACCACACCAAGATTACAACGAGGCTTTCTGGAATGGCTGGGTACAGTTGGCCCCCTTCCTCAGGTGATGGGTTAGATGATATCTCTAGTCAAGGATTCTACAGGCAGAAAATAAAGAAGGATGTCTTGGGAGGTTCGTTAACCCAGGGATGATGACTCACTCCTGGATCCTGTAATAACAATCTATTATTTATGTCCTTACCTGCTGCAAAATCATGAAGAACGACAGCGTGAGGAGCACTACTGTCCACAGGTTTCTGAGCAGGGCTTGGATCCTAGGGGGAGAAACAGGGCTGTGAATGAAGTATTCAGGATGGATGCTAGATTTTATTTTTGGTACTGAGGATTGAACCCAGGGGCACTTTACCACTGAGCTATATTTCCAGTCCTTTTTTATTGAATTAAAAAAGAATTTTTTTTTTTGTAGTTGTAGATGGACAGAATGCCTTTATTTGTTAATTTTTATGTGGTGCCAAGGATCAAACCCAGTGCCTCACACATGCTAGGCAAGCACTTTGCCACTGAGCTATAGCCCCAGCCCTCCTTTTTAAAAAAATTTGAGGCAGAGTTTTGCTAAGTTGCCTAGGGCCTCACTAAATTTCGAGGGCTGGCCACGAACTTGCAATCCTCCTGCCTCAGCCTCCCAAATTGCTGGGATTACAGGCGTGCACCACTGCACCCAGCTAGATGCTAGATTCATTATTCACTCTGAAGCCATTTTTTTTTTCTCATTAGAGTCCGCTTGCCACAATTACATTATGAGTACAAGATGAAAACCACACAGGTAAACTACACAAGGGAACCATTATCAAGCTGAAAAAGAATGTTACCTTGCCAAGGGGGGACAGAAATAACTCTCAATTATAATATTCCCTGCATATTTTTTTCTTCTTTTTTTTTCCAACCAAGAAAATTTAAAAAGGGAGAGTACTGCTTAAAAAAAAAAAAAAGCAGTATTATTTATTCTCCCCCAAAGCAGTAGTTTGTGACCTCTTCCCCTTTGAAGGGTAGGTAGTTTTCCCCTTAAGACTAATCCTTAAGAACAGAGCCTTAGAAGTTGTGTCTTTATTAGGATGGGAAAAGAAGAAAGTTCCACAATTTATGTTCTTGCCTTTTGTAATGAAGGCAGCTAATGACTTCCCACAGAAGTATAATTCACAAAAGGTAAAATCCATTTCATTTATTACCACTTAATTGAATGTCTTCTCTAATTTGAAAGCAATTCTACCTCCCATGCCTGGCCTGGATTTTCTATTTAATCTGAATCATTTATTCAACAGTAATTCTAAATAAATTAGCAAAGAGAATGAATTCGATATTCTCCACCCATCTAGCCAATGGTCTTGATTGGCTGGAGGAGAGGGCAGGGTTGAAGAGGGACCTTCTTAATGACAAACCGTTGTTATTCTCACGTTCTTTAAGAAACAAGGCTTGGGGCTGGGGATGTGGCTCAAGCGGTAGCGCGCTCGCCTGGCATGCGTGCGGCCCGGGTTCGATCCTCAGCACCACATACAAACAAAGATGTTGTGTCTGCCGAAAACTAAAAAATAAATATTAAAAATTCTCTCTCTCTCTCTCCCTTCCTCCCTCTCTCACTCTATCTTTAAAAAAAAAAAAAAAAAAAAAAAAAGATATTAACAGCGGGGCTGGGGCTGGGGCTCAGTGGTAGAGCACCTGTGAGGCCCTGGGTTTGATCCACATAAAAATAAATGAATAAAATAAAGTGTGCTTGTTTTAAAAAAAAAAAAAAAAAAAAAAAAAAGAAACAAGGCTTATCCACATCATCACCTTCACCATCAAACCTGACGGAGGGATGCTATTTGGAGTGCTGTAACTCAAAGCTCTTCAGTGCTGGTAATTTATTACCCATGAATATGTGATTTTTGTTTTGTACTGATTTATATCTATGGAGAAAGAATGGCTACTCAATAAATAATATCAGGGAAGATGGCTATCCATTTGGAAAAAATAAAGTCAGAGATCAACCTCACACCTAACACAAACCTAAGCCTCAAAATGGACCAGTGATCTAAAGGTAACCAAGCCTGGGAGGCTGGGGAAGGTTACTTGTGCCTCCTGATTGCGGTTCCCCTTCTCTGCCTTCAGTGTAGGGAGATCCCTGGCAATGATGCCCATCAACTTGGCCTGTCAGGTGAAGGGCAAATGGAACAGGCTGGAGAGGGTTGTCCACAAGAGGCTGAACACAGACCCGTGTCAGGGTGGGTACGTGGTAGGTAAATCTAATATATTTCAAAGGGCTTTCTATAGCAGTGCTGATACAAATGGTATGATAACAATAAGAAAGCTAATATTTATTGTTCGTTTGCTGTGTGCTACTTATTGTGTGTAACACCTCTAGACATTAGCTCATTTAATTTGATAAACACCTTTGAGACATAACTCATATACAATAAACCACCCCGTGTAGCATGTGTGTGGTTTTAGTTTATTCACAGAATTGCACAACCCCTACCTCAGTCCAAGGTAACCATGAACCTACCTTTCTATCTCCATGGATTTACTTTTACCTAAAATGGAATCATCTTTACCTCATATGGAATCATATAATATGTCAGTTCTAAAATCAACTCCATGAGGTGTTGTCATATTTATTTCACACATTAAAAAACAAAATGTAGACGGTTAGGTGAACACCTGTGTTGTAGGGAGCAGGTGAACTGAAGCCTCGCTTCCTGTAACTGGGTGTGAGTTCAACCATGAACCTCCCAGATTTCCCAGGATCCATCAGATTCAACTATAATTGATAATGGCCAATATTCTCTTTTTACCAAATTAGGGAAAAGTAAAACATTCTTAGAGATATTTACCTCAAAACCAGATTTTCAAACAGTAAGGTTTCTTTTTTTGTTGTTGTTTTTGTTTATTTATTCACAGGTACCCACACAAAGCAGGAAGCACTGATGTATATTTATTTGTGGTGCCAGGGATCGAGCCAAGGGCTTCATAAATGCCAGGCAGACACTCCATCCCTGAGCCACATCCCCAGGTAAGTTTTGCTTTTCTAAGAAACTTAATGATAACCATGAACCCAAAAGCCTAGTGGAGGATTCATTTCATTATCGTTATTGGTAACTGCACTGATTTTACCACTGACACCATCACCTACAGTGATAATGAAATGGCCACCCGAGGCCACCTCTGCAAGCTTGTAGCACAAGATGAGAAGGTGATGTTTAAAGTGGAAACACTTTGGACATTATAAAAGAATAACACCTCATTTTTTAGCTTTCGTTTTTTAAGGATAGCTTTGGGGCATGTACCTCATGGTTAACATCAGTGTGTTCTGAAAGAGGAAGGACGAGAGGACAGTTGGATAACGCTGTACCAATACAGACAGAATAAGTAACACAACTTTTCTTATGTGAACTGAACTTAGAATTTTCACAACCAGCTGCAACTGGCTGACCGTGTATTTTTCTCTGCTCCACAAAATACAAATTCTTAGTTTCTTAAGCAAATCTTCTAAGATAAACTGCCTTCTAAGAAGAATTGAATGAGATTATAAAAATGAAAATAAAACGGTAAAACAAAATACTTTACTTGGGTTGAATGACTAGTGGGAATTATTTTTTATATATTTGACATTAACTAACAGTGAAAACTGGACGCTCTTTAAAAAATATCCCTCTAGGGCTGGGGATGTGGCTCAAGTGGTAGTGTGCTTGCCTAGCATGCGTGAGACATTGGGTTTGATTCTTAGCACTACATAAATGTAAAATAAAGATATTGTATCCATCTAAAACTTAAAAAAAAAATCCATCTATGAATTGTTTGACAGCATGTTTCTTGCTAAACAAATGACATTTAACAATCTTTGTATCTTCCCAGGCTCCAAATAAATATATATATTTAGTTGTCGGTGGACCTTTGTTTTATTTATTTATTTATAGGTGGTGCTGGGGATCGAACCCAGTACCTCACACATGCTAGGCAAGTGCTATCACTGAGCTACAGCCCCAGCCCAGGCTCCACAAATTTGTTAGGCTTAAAATGTGACTCAAGGTTGTTGGGTTACAAAATGACGATTGCACTAAGCTTACATCTTAAAGGAAGTGTGTGTGTGTGTGTGTGTGTGTGTTTAATGTCACATTTAACATTTATAGGACCCCCTTTAAAATCATTACCCATTCTGCTGGAAAATGGATCTCTGGCACTTTGGCAAACATGTTTATATTATTTAAAAAACATAAATGGCTCCCACAGTTGGGAGTTCACAAGTGAGTGCTCCGGCTTTCACAAGTAAGGTCACAAGTGATCCTGCACCATGGAAGGTGGCAAAATACCCCAGTCAGTATGTGCAGCAGAGTGATTAGGGTGGCAGAGGCCAGCCTCAAGTCATTCATTCTAAAAATGGAACAGAATGCTACTGTAATTTTCATTCTGGTTAAGATAACTTTCCTAATAAAAAACTTGGGGCTGCAATATAATTAATAGTTCTATGAGATGTGCCGCCATGTGTGATATGAAGGCTGTACAACATTAATTCCTTCCGCTGGGTCTGCTCATCTGATGGTCCTCTCATCAAGAGGAGTGATAATCTTCATCTGGGACACGTGAACTCTGCCTGTCCCGTCTCCCTTCTGGCATTCCAGGTAATTATTTTCTGCCTGCTTCAGCATCACAAGTACGTCCCCACACTGGAAGGTACAATACCACTCTCTGAAGCAATTATTATTTAATAAAACATTATTACTTTTCCACATTTTAATCTTTGGAGCCTAAAGCATTTAATAATGTGTAATAGCAGTAACAGAGGCCGGCGATTTTTCACACCCATCAGTAAAGAAAGAGCTCCACTTTACCTTACGAGAGAGTTCTCCAGGGTTTTGTGGGACAATGTCTTCATTGGCAATTCCATGAGGCACAGACAGCTTAAATGAAAACCATTCACGATCAAGGAGCCTCCTCACGAGCTGCTGATTGTTGAGGGACTCGGCGTGTGTGCCTCAGCTCTCCTGATCAGGCTACCTCACACCTGGATGGAGGGGGGCCTGCGCGTCTCCTGGACTTTCAAGTTCATGGGAGGTGAGGTGGAGCCCAGGGGACCACCAGGGCTGCATGTGGCCTAAAGTTCCCTTAATAACTAACAACTAAGAAGTTCCTTTCTACAGGGAAGGTCCACCAAGTCCCCTGGGGGTCTGACCTTGCCGCCTATCAAAGCCCATCTTTAATTCAGAGTTCTCAAAATGACTGCCTTCTTAAACACGGAAAGGGTGGCTGCCTGGGCCCTTGGGTCACTCAAGAACAAAGATAGGGAAGTGTGCGGGTGTGGCCCTGTAAGGCTGGGTGGAGCAGCATGACTTCCAGACATCTCCTTGGTGTCCCAGGATTCCCTGCTAGCAATTTAATGGTAGGGTAGCCATGGAAAAAAATGAGGGAAAATTTAAGGAATTATTTCCTTAGGAGACACACCATTCTCATCATACCATCATGTTACATGTATTGATTTCTTTTGAGTTCTTTAAATACTTTATTGGTATGCAGTTATACTGAGTAAGGGATCCTAACAGAATGTCCAAAGCAAGTAGAGTCTTTACAATTGGTAACACTGTGTTCATAATATGGCCTAATGGTTAGGAGCAGGGGGTCAGAGCTAGTTATCTACGTTCAAATCTTGGTTCCACCACTGGCTGGCTTCTTTCTCATCTTATTGTCCTCATTTGTACAATGAGGAATAATAATTTTATCAACTCACAAGGTTGATGGGAAGAATAAACGAGCACTTTACCTATATAAAACCTTCGAACAGTGCCTGGCTCATAATCAGTACTCAATACCCATCAGCTACTGTTTTGTTTTTTTGTTGTTGTTGTTGACACTTTGGATATAACACCAGGAGTGATTTACCACTGAGCCACATCCCTTCCTCTTTTGTTTTGTTTTTTAGTTTGAGACAGGGTTTCACTAAGCTGTTGAGGCTGGCCTTGTATTTGCAATCCTCCTGCCTCAGCCTCCTGAGCTGAGTTTCGAGGATTACAGATGTGTGCCCCTGGCTCAGCTATTGTTTTTATTATCAACAACCTATCCCCTCAAATACCTTTGGGTTTTTTTCTTTTTTAATATTTATTTTTTAGTTGTAGTTGGGCACAATGTTTTATTTTATTTATTTATTTTATGTGGTGCTGAGGATCGAACCCAGGGCCTTGCACACACTAGCCACACACTCTACTGCTGAGCCACAATCCCAGTCCATGGGTTTTGTTTTTGGTGGTCTCAGGGATCAAACCCAGGGCCTCACACATGCTAGGCAGGTTCCCTACATCTCTGGTACCACCTGTGAGTTTTGGCAATTAAAGTTTCATTGATTTAAATGAATATGAATATATATGAATAGTCTACCTCCTCATCTGTCTATTCCTTTTTCAAAGGAGGATTAAAAAACAAATTAGGGCTGGGATCGTGGCTAAACGGTAGAGCACTTGCCTAGCATGGGCGTGACCCGGGTTCAATTTTCAGCACCACATAAAAATAAAGGCATTGTGTGGTGTCCATATACAAAAAAAAAAAAGATTCTCTCTCTTAAAAAAAAAAAAATTAACAAAACCCCGAATGACTTAAAGTAAAAGAAAATTCCTGACTCAATGATGGAAACATGGAACAAGACAAAATAATTAACTAATGTTCCTGTTAAGAGCTACTCTATCACTAATTGTTTAAAAAGAACAAACAGTCCTGATTTCCTCATCATTTTAATATTTTAAAGATTTTATCAGATTAACCTGACCAAAGGAGAGACCACATCAACGCTATTTTTCATCTATGAGAAATGGAAGCAGAAGTCACTTGAGAAAAACGTTAGTATCTTACCTATTGATAAAAACTGCTAACTAGTAGCTATTAAAGGTTCCAGTATAATTAGACTTTAAAAAATGAAAAAAAAAAAAAAGTGGGAAATCCACCCACCTTAATAAAAACTTCACTTCAACTTCATTTTAAAATGTACTCAGGGGACTGGGCACAGTGGTGTACACCTGTAATCCCAGTGGCTCAGGAGGCCAAGGCAGGAGAATATCAAAAGCAAGGCAACTTAGTGAGGCCTTGTCTCTAAATAAAATACAAGACATGGCTGGGGATGTGGCTCAGTGGTCAAGTGCCCCTGAGTTCAGTCTCCAGTACCCCCCACCCCCCAAATTTACTCAGTGGGCAAAGTTGCTTAAGATGTAAACTCTATCAAGATATAACTCTCTGTCAGTCACTCCTATTAGCATAACCTACAGGGTCAGGTTTTTGAGTTTCACTTGGTCAACACCTTACAACCACCGTGTGGCCTGCTTCCTCTTCCCCTGTGTTTCTCCTACTAATGAAACCCTGCTTTCAAAGCCTAGGTGGTGTTCTGGTCAACTTATCTAAAGCACTCTTAGGGTCAAGGAACAATTTCCTATTTGTTTCACCATCTTTTTCTATGGAATAATGGATTTTAAAATATATTGTAGAACAAACCTCTTGACCACAAACATTTTTAAAAGCCCAACTTACCATGTATTTTCTGTACAGAGGATGTCCTGGTTTGGGACGAGGGGGTAGCACCGGATCTTGACTTTTAAAGATATGACTCTTGGCTTTTGAGAGCCCAGATGCCAAGTGACTTTGTTTTTTCTGAAGATCCATGTCAGAAGAGGACCGACTAAAAGGCAGTTTTTTATTTGATGTTCGGGTTGCAGGAAGTTTTGGGGGAGGTGGCCTCTCGGGGGCTCCTTTGGGAGGAGGCCGTCTAGCTGGAGTAGGTTTTCCATTAACGGGTCTGAAAGTCAATGGGAAGTCAGGAGTCAGTGTCTTGATCAGTATTAGGTTCCATTCTGTCCTTTCCTATAGGTGTATACACACACATACACACACACACACATACACACACACACAAGACACCTCACAGCTTTCTGCAAGTGGAATGCAATTTACTGAAACCTGCAGGGTATGCTATTTTTGAGCAAATGACTGCTGCATTAAACATTATATTATTAGAGGAAATGCCATGATGTTCCAGGTTCCTGTTATCTTGCACCAGAGATTCATTAGTTCAAGACAAACAAGCATTTACTATCACGAGCTCTCTGAGGCCCTGACTGCTCTTAAACACACCATGACTATTTCAGGAAGCTAAGCACTTTTCCACCGAAGTCTGAGATGAAAAGCTTATAATAAGATATCAGGTATGTGTGCTGGGGGCTTGCATGTGATTAGAAAAGGAACATCAAAACCCCCTGATGTTCATCTGGTAGGAGTTACTATTGAGACTAACTTAGATTAACATAAAGAAAATTCATTTTGAAAATGGGAGAGGACAACTCTTAGGTTGAAAGCTTTTTCTTAAAAACTATGATAGAAATAAATTTCAACATGGCAGTGTCTTCTGGTAGCATTATAGCCTTTTGTTCAGACAGTTCTGGAGCTCAGAAAGCAGGTCACCTCTGAATTCACAAAGCCTGTGTCCCTTTACAGATGCCCCGAACCAGGCCTGTCTCTCTTAACTGGGAGGGTGTGTGTGTGTGTGTGTGTGTGTGTGTGTGTGTGTGTGTTCCAGAAGTGGGGTTGTTGTAGGTTTGGAAAGGAGCCTTGTTCATTTGTTTGAGGAAAAGTAAAAGAAATCCACATTTGTGCTCTGCAAAATTTTGGACTATGTTAAAAGAAAAAGGAGCAGAGATTCCTCTAACCTGCTGTCAGAAGCAGACTGTAGGCTGGTAGCTGGGGTGAATTTGTGGGTTTATTTTATCTCTAAACAAAGATCTGAGACCAACAATACTTGGTCTGGATGATACAAAAAGATCGTCAGGTCTCTGAGTCATTCATTTTATTTTACTTTATTTTTTGGTACCAACCACATCTCCAGTTCCCCTTTTTAAAAAATGTTTTATCTTGAGACAGGATCTCACTAAGTTGCTGAGGCTGACTTTGAACTTGCAATCCTCCTGCCTCAGCCTCCTGAGCTGCTGGGATTACAGGTGCACACCACAGTGCCCGGCTCATTCATTTTTCTCTAACTTTTCCCACACTTCCTTACCTTGGTGGCAACCTTGGGGGTCCTCGCACAAAACCTCCGGTCTCACCAGCTTGGTTGGATTCCTACAAGGATCAGAGGAGAATTTTTAGCCAACATTAACCTAAAAAAGAACTTGTCAAGAGGAACTTTAGAGAATTTAGCTGGGTCTGAAAGTGTAAATGTAGCTCAGTTATTGAAAATAGCAGAAAAGAATTTTTGATCTTAAATAATATTAACTCACTATTTACTCCACACTATTCATGTCCTAATACAAGTGAAAACACCCAGCAGAGGAAACCAAGGCATCTCCTGTTGTGGACCAGAACCAGACAACAGCACTGCAGGGCCACGCACCAGGTGATTCATGAGATATTAGGGGATGACATTTACATCATGGTGGGTCACACAGTAACAAAGTAAGCAGGCACCATAGGAAGTAAACAAACACATGACCCTTGTTAATCCCAATTACACAGATGAAACACTGCTCCTGAGTCTGAACACCTACTAATTGAAGTGGTTATTAGTTGTTTTATAGGCAGATCCTATCTCATCACTGGATGGTTTCGACATTTTGCAAAACTGAAGAGGCGAGAATTAAAAGCAGCCAGAGGCATGGCCCAAAGGGCACTCACACCACCAGGCCACCGTAGATGGATGGGCTAAGAGTTTTATAGGGAAGAGTAAAGGGGAACAATGTGAAAAATTAAAGATGGATGTAACCTGACCATAGATGAGAGAAACTGGAAGCACATAGAGATTAACAGGAAGACTTTCCCAGGGGAAGGGACTCAAGCTGCTGCTTAAACAGGTCTTCTGAACAGGGCATAGCCCAAGCATTGGAGAATGAGCACAACTCACAGAAATATCTTCAGATCTCCTGTTGAGTGACAAGCTAAAAGATCTCAAAGCCAAACTCAAAAAACAAAACAAAACAAACAAACAAAAAAAACCCTCACTAAATTCTTCTAATTAATTGTCTCCTTTTTAAAATCAGAACTGGAAAATTTCCAACTAAAACCTACTTTTCCTCTCCCACTTTCTAAGACCCCAACACAATACACAAGAAATATTCTAAGACATCATAGGGAAAATTTGTTAGTCCTTTAAAATTATACTTTCTTTTTTTTTTTTGTAAAGGGGTTTAATTATAGCTTGGGAATCTCTGGGCTAATTCAGACTGTTTTCTTCCTTCATATCCTATAAATAAGTTAAAACTCACTTTCATGATTTTAAATTCACATGGAATATAACTTTCCCTTAAAAATCACATGATTAGGGACTGGGGTTGTGGCTCAGTGGTAGAGTGCTTGCCTAGCATGCGTGAGGCATTGGGTTCGACCCTCAGCACCACATTAAAAAAAAAATAATAAGCAAAATAAAGGTATTGTGTTCATCTACAACTAAAAAAGAAATTCTTTTAAAAAAAATCACATGATTAAGTTCCAATAATGGTGATCATTTAAACATATTTCAATGTTTTAAAATCCCATTTTTAAAGACAAATTAAGCTTGCCTTAAAACTTGGTTTCACTAATGAGTTCAGTTAATGTAGAGAGGCGAGTCACCAGTTCATAAACCCTGAAATATTCCAGAATATAATCCATGCCTTATAAATACACTGTTGTCTATATTTCTTCCTGGCAGATAACGCTATGATACTTGAAAAGGCATTTACTTCTTTGGTCATCTTTAAAATTAAGTCAAACAGGGGCTGGCATTGTAGCTCAGTGGCAGAGCGCTTGAGTAGCAATTATGAGGCACTGGGTTCGATCCTCATCACCACATAAAAATAAAATAAATAAATCTAACTAAATATATATTTATATCTATATCTAACTATATATATATACATATATACATAAATCAAAGCAAAAAAACTCAAACAGATAGGGAGAAACTTTTATTACTTTTTTTTTTAACATTATAGTTGTATACCTTAACAAGGAGAAATCTCAAAAGAATATCAATGTATGAACTTGACAGGGAAAGGCAAGGATGATGTATTGTAATAAATACACAGCATATGGTCCTAAATCGGTGTCAAATATTACCTGCAGTTTCCCCTGGGTGGTGGTTTTGTTTTGTTTTCTTTTGCTCTTTTGTGATTCTAGGGATTGAACCCAAGTCCTTGAGCATGCAAATGTTCTACCACTGACTCCCAGACCCACGGTGATAATTTTGTGGGAAATCTTAAGTACTTTTTAATTTCTCAATTTTCTGCAGTGAGCAAATTTTAAATCGGAATAAAAAAAGGCAGTACATCCAAACTCCTCAAGGACATCAGGCACATCTTGAAAGGCACCGCTACGTCTGATATACTCCAAATGCGGCACCGCTACGTCTGATATACTCCAAATGCCAAGAACACAGGGACAGTTCCCCCCAGAGCCACTGTCTTTGTGTTTGCTCAAGCATGGGCTTGTGCCCAGGTTCTGCTGACAGTCTTTGGAAGATTATCGATTAGGGACTTCCTTCTCTTCAGCATTCCACGCATACTTCAAAGCCTCTCTGTACTTGCTCTGTGGAAATTTTTCTCTAGTCTGACATCCCTGGACTTTGGCAGTTGATGTGTCTGGATAAGCATTTCAGTTCCTGGCAAATTTGTTTTTTCTGCTTGTATTGTGTCTGTAGAAATCTTTTTGTTCATCGGCATTAGAATCACACTTTAACTTCAAAATAATTCCCCAGTATTTTTGTGGTATTTTAAAAAGACAAAGATTTCTCCTGAGACCACACTCTTGTGTGCTCTTGTGTGGGGGAATTACTAAGCAGCCTCTATAGATGTATTTCTTCTAAGAACTTAGGCTGCTTATGTTCTGAATTCAAAATCAGCCTGTTTCCTCCCACAGACCCTTCTGAGCTACATGACTGACACATACATACTCTGCACTCTCAGCTGACTCTCCTCCTGTACCTGTGGGTAGCTTCCCTGGGGATGCTTTGAGAGCCTGCGTGCCCAGGGGCAGCAGGGCACACAGAGGCATCTGCTTTGACTGGCAGAAGGGCTCCAGTGGCCCTGCCGCTCCTCACTTAAATGGAGTCCTTCACCATTTAAGTGAAGAAGGCGAGGACTGGCAACTGCAGCCATCTTACCCGAGATGGAAAGTTCCCCAGTATTCATGGCAGGAGAAACAGCAGAGGGTTTTTGTTGTATGCCATTAAAAAACGCAGTTGGCAAAGACCACGCCTCTTTTCCTGGGTTGCTACACTGATGAAATATTCTTTCTAGAGACCCTCATATCCACATTTTAATCTTTAGGGCCTCTGGTCTAAAATTCATTCAGTATTCATAATTCTCAAACAAAAGGAATTTCTTAAGCATCTATGTGACTCTGTCTCTAGAAGTCTGTACACGTGACTTCAGGCAAATCACTGAATGTCGGAGGCCGCCCTGAACAGGAGCTAAGCACACGTCTTTAAGTCTGGAGTAAGGAGCTGGCATTCATGTGGACTCACCTCTGCTTGCAGCAGGTACAGCTCAGGGATTGGGTGTCCCCGATGGGGCTGAGTTACACCCCCCTGTTTGTTGTAATAGAACAATTTTTTGGATGGAGTGTTCTATCAACAGCTCCCCTCAATAAACAGGGCTTCAGATTGTGCTCCCCCACCCCGCCTGCCTCCGGTGTTCTTCTCTTGTCCCCTCGGGGGACCTTACATCTGAGGCGGAGAAGCTGTCCTGAAACCACCCAAGAAAAAGGTACTTTCTGTGTCTGGGTAATCTGTTTGCCCAGATTCACCCAAGTGACCCTGGTTCCACAGCCCGCGCTGGACAGGGGTTACAATTGAACTTGTGTCTGTTCTGTTTTTCTTTCATACTCAGTTTATTTATTATGTATGTATTTAGGAAAATACAGACCTGCTCCAACCCTATAAACAGTGGAGGATGGGACTTTCCTCATGTTATGATTGTGAGGAACAAACACAACTATGCCTCTAGTGTCTCCCCAGATGGTTTCGTTTATTCCAACTTCCTTTTCTTGTTTTTCTAAAACATGGGAGTTGCTTGGCGACTGCTTAACACCCAATATAATAATTATTTCAATAGAGCTTTGTCACTCACAAAACCCATGACATCACTTCCTGAATGATATATACACTACTCATCACCCTCTCGCTCCCTTTTTAACACTTTGAGAGTAGAAACCCATAACCCTCTCAAGCAGCTGTCCCTCCATGGAAGTGGGAGACTTTCTCATTCAACAATAGTATGGTAGGGGCCCTACTATCCTCTTTGGGGTTTCCTTGGCCCAATTTTTTTTTTTTTTTTGTACCAGGGATTTAACCCAGGGGTACTTAACCACTGAGACATATCCCTAGCCTTTTTTTTTTTTTTTAAGATTTATTTATTCTTATTTTTCTATGATTTTTAAAATATATTTTATACATTGTATATTTGCATTATGTATTTTTTGTATATTTTTATTTATATAAGACAGAAGAATGCATTACAATTCTTATTACACTAATAAAGCACAATTTTTCATATCTTTGGTTGTATACACAGTAATATTCACACCAATTCAATGCCTAGCCCTTTTTATTTTTTAATTTTGACAAGGGTCTTGACAAATTGCTTAGGGCCTTGCTAAGTTGCTGAGGCTGCCACTGAACTTGCTATCCACCTATCTCAGCCTCCTAAGCCACTGGGATTATAGGCGTGCACCATCACTCCTGGCTTGGCCTGGTTTTTTCAATATCTTTATTTTATTATTATGTGATGCTGAGGATCAAATCCAGTGCCTCACGCATGCCAGGCGAGCACGCTACCACTTGAGCCACATCCCAAGCCCTTGGCCCAGTTTTAATAAAAAATGATTACCAACATTCTGAAAGTACAAATGACCACTGAATTTTAATTCATTCTACAGAAAATCTCCTTTAACTTGGTATTGACTAATTTAATCTCTCCTTCAAAGAAATGTCTCTTTCTAGATGATTAGATGGGTTTGCCTGCATGATAGGCATAGTGTAAACCTATTACAAAATTTGAACTGAAAATGTGGTTCAAAGAGTTTAAGAATTGATTTCTTTTGAAACAAGTCTTAAAGATCATCTATCGCATAAAAATTTGTAAAAATATATGAGGAATCATTGAGGTTATAATAAAAATATATATACATCATCTTAACATATGTACAGTAAAGCACTAATTTAAAAAACATTTTTCTCTTTAATTTCACATTAAAAAAGTCTTTGGGTAATTATCTTAAAATTATGCCACCAGTTGGGTATTTTAAATAAAAGCTGACAATCTGGCTAAATCCACTTCCACAAATATTAAAGGTTTTCCCAGATTTTAAATAACTTCCTCATTATTAGCATCATTTAAAAGACAATGTCATTACATTGGTACAATATAGGTTACTTTATAGTGAAGTATAACGAATTAGCCTAATCCCTCTGTAGGGACTTCTAAAATATTGAACATCGCATGGGATTTGGCAACTGGTTTCTAATAAAAGTATTTTTTTCAATATGACCAGTAGTAAAATCATCTAGACACTAGCTGAATATTTAACATTGGTGCACAGCTCTGTCTTCAACATAACATACTCTACACAACACAATCGACAGCCACTCACCAAGTTTCTAGATCTGTCAGCATTACTGGGTTTTCCAGGTACTGTGCTGTACGTGTTTCCAATAGGTTTTTCAGCTGGGAGTGGAGGTGGGCTTTGCGGATCCTCATGTAAACCTGGAAAAAACAGTAATTCATCAGTAATGCCTAGTCTGGCATTCCAAAGAATGAAATGATTGCAGCTTGATTCCTTAGAAAAATGGCTAACACAGAAGAGCCACATACAGGACGGACAGAAATCGATGTGTTGGTCAACACCAGTTACTTTTATTATATATTTTAGAGAGAGTGAAAATAATACTAAATAATTACAACAGCAGCTAGCATTTGTGGAGAAACGTCTATGTTCCTGGCATTAACTCAAGGCAACTTTATTTGAATATATTTCTTCAGCCAACTTCTATGTGCTAGATTTATCTAGTCTACTAGCTAGTTGCCACATGTAGGAATTTAATGTAAATGAAATAAAATGAAAATTTCATTCTTCAGTTGCATTAGTCAAAAAAGATGGTGGCTTCCCTCCCTCCCTCCTTCCCTTTTTTATGGTCCTGGGCTTGAAACTTAGGGTGTGTACATGCTAGGCAAGCACTGTATCACTGAGCTACATCCCCAGCCCTATTTCTATTTTCAGATAGGGTCTTGCTAAGTTTGCCAGGTTGGCTTCAAACTTGCAATCCTCCTGTCTCAGCCTCCACAGGCAGCAACCCTGTCCCTGGCCCACTCTGTTCAAGGACTCAACAGTCACCGGTGGTGAAGGGCTACCGTACAGATACAGAACATTTCCATCTCTGCAGAAAGATCTAGTAGACAGTGTGGTGCTAGATGAATAGATTATCTAATTTACTGATGAAGAAAGAAAATACATGAGCTATCCAAGGTCTTAATGTCAGTGTTTTGTTTTGGTTTTGGCTCTTGAACCTTAAAGCCTGACTCGTTCTAATAAGACATGATCTTTAACAGGAGGTGTATCTAACCCACTCCCATCCACAAGTAAATAAATGTTTTCTAATTTTTTAGCTCTAGATTAATGAGCATAGTTAGCCTCAATTAAAAACAATACCTTTACATTCCAAACCACATCCTTATCTCAGTAACAATGTGCTCCCAACTTATTTTAAAAGAAAGCAAAGACAACCAGATATAAAGAGTGACAGCTAATTAAAATCTGCGTGCAAAACTGCCTGAGGAGGGGATGACCGTAACACACCAAAGGAGGCCAAGGCCACTTTTTACAGTATTGGGTTTGGACCCTGAAAGGATATGGGAATTTCCTATTTTTTTTTTTTTCAAATGAACACTTTCTACTGCCATTTCACACGAAAAACCTATAACAAGAGGATGATTTGTCAGGTTCCTGTTTCATCCACAGACAGGAAAACATTCTCCAAGGGAAGAAAATACCCAGGCCAGCTGCTAGGAAAACAATGATTTAGAGACAGGCAAGTGTTCTCGGTGAGAGGCAGAGCCGCCCTGGGAATTAAGATCCAGGCAGACACATCCAACTTAGTCACCAGCTATTTCCCCCCCAGGCTGGAGGACACTGCACAGGCTAGGCAGCATTCTGCCACTAGGCGGTCCCCAGCCCTGAAGGCAGTCACCATTTTGAAGACATTCCCCTTGCTGTACTTTCCCTATTCAAAAGGACAATGAATCACATTTAGCATATGACACTGTTGTTAGAAATATTTAAAAGTACAAAGTCGAAATAGGGAAGCAGTAAAGAGGGAGTTTCTAGGCAGGAAGGGCCACCCCAGGGTGTACCTGGGCTGTGAAAGGAGAATTCTGCTTTGACATTGCATGCAGCCAGCCAAAGGTATCACTAAGAAAAGAGTGGCCACTGATCGGAGATCTGAAAGAATGGGGAGGGAGGGAGCCATGCAGATATCTGGGAAAAGAATGTCTTGGTTAGAATAACAGGTCCTAAGGAGAAGAGCTGATGGGTTCAGAGAATATCAAGGACTTCTGAACCACAGTGTTCCTTTCTTCCCCGGTCCACTCTAAGTTCTTCAGATACCCAAAGTCTTGTTCTTTTTTCTCTGCAGCATATACACATTGCCTGGTTTCTGTTAGATGTATGTATCATTCATTTGTTCATTTTTCAGTACTAAAGATTGAACCCAGGGTGATCTATCACCAAGCTACATCTGTAGTCTTTTTTTTTTTTTCTTTTTTAATTTTAAGACAGGGCCTTGCTAAGTTGCCAAGGATGGCCTCAAACTTGCCTTAGCCTCCTCGGTAGCTAGGATTACCACCACACCTGCCACAAGCAACTCCTTAGAAACCATCTTGGAGCAGGGCGCAGTGGCGTGTGTCTATAATCCCGGTGGCTTGGGAGGCTGAGGCAGGAGGATCGTGAGTGAGTTCAAAGCCAGCCTCAGCTAAAGCGAAGTGCTCAGCAACTCAGTGAGACCCTGTGTTTGAATAAAACACAAAATAGGACTGGAGAATGTGGCTCAGTGGTCAAGTGCCTCTGACTGAGTTCAATCCTTGGTACCTCCTACAAAAAAAATACCCACCATCTTGGCATGTCAGCTCCTCACATTTAGCACACGGCGTTCAACTTTCTCACAGTTCCTGGAGTTCCATGGGGAGATTAAAGTTTCTGCCCTGGTATAGCCAGTTGAGAGGTGTGCAGAAAAGGTCACTACAGCCCTTAATTGGTGTCTGGGAACTTGGACTTTGGGACAGTTCCCATGATTCCCAGAACTGAGAAAATACAAGAATATGTTTCATGTGGAACACCTGCTTTCCTTCTGGGAATCTGAAATTTCAGTACATGTCAAGATTTCTAGGGGTGCCTATGGAACCAGCCTCCACTCATGACCCTCTGATGAACATCTCTGGTTCACAACACTTCACATGTGTTGTCACAACTCCTTGTAGGGAGGGTTAACTTATCCTGTGTGACGTCACTAACAAAAGACTCGGATGTTTGTGCCAGGGTTCCTCCAGGTCTCACACCATTTACCTTTCCCTTTGCTGATTTTGCCTCATACTTTCCCCTTCTCCTCCCCTGTACCAGGGACAGAACCCAGGGCTTTGCACAATCTGGGCAAGAGCTCACCACCGAGCTACATCCCCGGGCCCTGATTCTGCCTCATACACTTTTGCTGTAATAAATCATAGCCACGAACATGACTATGTTATGTCCTGTGAGTCTTCCTATCAAAATGTCAAACCTGGCATCTTAAAGGACACAACACAACAGGAGAATAAATTTAAGGATAAAAGTTGTTTTGCTTAAGACCCACGTGGGCTTCTGGAAATATTTACTATCATTATATTTCACTGTGCCTGTTAAAATCCAGAGTGCATTTAATAAGGTAACAGCAAACAGGCAAACAGCCTGATGAGCTATCATTTACTGATTTCTGAGCTCTATGACACTGTCAAAAGAAATATACCACCTGTTCTTTAACTCACACTACAATATAAGAAGTGAGAAACCACCAGAATTTGAGATCCTTGACTTTTTCTCCTCCTCATTGTTCACAGCAACTCAGTTCAATCTTCTAGCTACTGGACTGAGAGCCGTCAGTTAATGGCAAAACCATCAAGAGACAAAACCATTGTGTATAAACGCCACATTTTTTTTATCCATTCGTCTATTGAAGGGCATCTAGGTTGGTTCCACAGTCTTGCTATTGTGAATTGTGCTGCTATGAACATCGATGTAGCAGTGTCCCTGTAGCATGCTTTTTTTAGGTCTTTAGGGAATAGACCGAGAAGGGGAATAGCTGGGTCAAATGGTGGCTCCATTCCCAGCTTTCCAAGAAATCTCCATACTGCTTTCCAAATTGGCTGCACCAATTTGCAGTCCCACCAGCAATGTACAAGTGTATACCCTTTTCCCCACATCCTCACCAGCACTTGTTGTTGTTTGACTTCATAATGGCTGCCAATCTTACTGGAGTGAGATGGTATCTTAGGGTGGTTTTGATTTGCATTTCTCTGACTGCTAGAGATGGTGAGCATTTTTTCATGTACTTGTTGATTGATTAAAAAATGACAAAATCATAGAATTTGCAGGGAAATGGATGGCATTAGAGCAGATTATGCTAAGTGAAGCTAGCCAATCCCTAAAAAACAAATGCCAAATGTCTTCTTTGATATAAGGAGAGTAACTAAGAACAGAGTAGGGTCGAAGAGCATGAGAAGAAGATTAACATTAAACAGGGATGAGAGGTGGGAGGGAAAGGGAGAGAGAAGGGAAATTGCATGGAAATGGAAGGAGACCCTCAGGGTTATACAAAAGTACATACAAGAGGAAGTGAGGGGAAAGGGAAAAATAATACAAGGGGGACAAATGAATGACAGTAGAGGGGGCAGATAGAGAAGAGGGGAGGGGAGGGGAGGGGAGGGGAGGGGGGATAGTAGAGGATAGGAAAGGCAGCAGAACACAACAGACACTAGTATGGCAATATGTAAATCAATGGATGTGTAACTGATGTGATTCTGCAATCTGTATATGGGGTAAAAATGGGAGTTCATAACCCAGTTGAATCAAAGTGTGAAATATGATATATCAAGAACTATGTAATGTTTTGAACAACCAACAATAAAAAATTTAAAAAATAAAAATAAAAAAAGAGACAAAACCAATAATTCTTCTTGGTAGTGCTTCACAGAAAAAACCAACCCCTAAAATAAAGTGCATGCCAGCAAGACAGTACTGGGCTGGAACAGGTTGAAGACCTGGGCGCGCGTGCGCGCGCGCGCGCGCACACACACACACACACACACGCAATTCTACCCATACTTAAAAAATCTCTGGGGCCTAAAATGAACAGTTTTGGCCTTTTGGCTTTTCCATTACAATAAATGTCAAATTTCGCTCTCTCTTTATTTTATTATTTTTTTTGCAGTGCTGGGGATCAAACCCAGGGGCTTGTGCCTAGTAGGCAAGCACACTACTACTGAGCTACATCCCCAGCCCTAAATGTCACTTTTTTTTTTTAAGGTACTGACTATTGAACCCAGGGACGCTTAACCACTGAGCCACATCCACAGCCCTTTTTTATATTTTACTTAGAGACAGGGTCTCACTAAGTTGCTGAGCCTGGCTTTGGACTGGGATCTGCCTGCCTCAGCTTCCTGAGATGCAGGGATTACAGGCGTGCGCCACTTTTTCTTTTCTTTCTTTCTTTTTCTTTAAAAATTTTTTAAAAATATTTATTTTTAGTTTTTGGAAGACACATCATCTTTATTTTATTTTTATGTGGTGCTGAGGATCGAACCCAGTGCCACGCGCATGCCAGGCGAGCGCGCTACCGCTTGAGCCACATCCCCAGCCCTCTTTTTAAAAATTTTTAAAAATTTGTTCTAATTTGTTATACATGACGGAAGAATGCATTTAAATTCATTGTACACAAATGGAGCACAACTTTTCATTCATCTGGTTATACACAATGTAGTCGTAACACATGTGCAGTCATCCATGTACCTAAGGTAATGATGTTCATCTCATCCCACCATCTTTCCTGCCCCCATGCCCCCTCCCCTCCCCTCCTCATATTTCTTTTTGAAGTACTTGTTAAAGCTCATACAGAATTTCATCTATTGCACTACTTAAAAATCAAATGAAAAAATCAACTAAAAATGCATGGAGTAATTTAAAAGTACTATTCCTTGCAATGGAGCCATCATAAGAAGAAAGAAGGAATTTTCATCCATTGTTATATGCTTTTAAAGCTTTTGTATACAGCTTTTCACACAATTCACACATAGCCATATTTAAATGATGCTGATTGGAAAAATACACCCCTGATGAAATCATACAACTTCATTTGCTATTAGTTTCAATTACTTTCCCCTCAACCTTTACCAGAGGCACCAACATGGGATACTACAATTGTTCTGAGACTTACATTCTCCATGCAGTCTCTCTGTGTAAACACAACCTTACGTAAAAATGAAATTCAAATTTACTGTGCTAATTCTGCAAAGAATTGAGAGAAAACACCTTGCTTTTGAATGTCCATGACTATGAATAATAAATAGCAAGTTACCAATAATTTCAAAAGCAGACATGGATAAATTAGCATATATATTCTCCCAGGCTCTTGGAAATGCAAATAAATATGAAGGCGGAGAAGTGCTTACATTTTCCTGGTTTGGCTGGAATTCGAATTACAGTGGGCTTCCTGGCGGCTGCTGGTTGAATTGCTCTTTCTTTCGTTGGTTCAGTTTTTGTGGGGAGCTGAAAGGGATCTAATGGAAAACATAGTTTATTTTGCATGTTTTAGTTAACACGAACTCAAACAAAAAACCTCATTCATAATTTACGAGTCATATTTTTCATGCCCCAGGGAAAACTATTCATGGATAAACAAAATCTCGGTTTACAGAGACAAAAACAAAGTTGGAGCTCATAAAAGGAAATAATTTAGTGCTCTGTAAATAATTCATAGGGCTTTTCTTCCTCTGTGATGAGAGAGGTCCAGGACAATCCTGAATTATGTAAAGCGAGCTTTCAGGGGAGTGTAATCATTTCATTTCATAAGTGTCTGCCTGAAAATGAGGGGCAACTGAAATGAGACCATCTTTCCAAACCATAAACCCTCCCGGATCCCCCAGGAAGGAAGAGTTCTTCTCTCCTACCTCGCTGTGCATAAACTGACATAGTTACCCAAAGTACCACTAAGGCCTTCCTCCTCCAGCACCCTGTCCAGCGTGGGAAAGGGGCAGCCTTGGACTTGAACTACTGTTCAGTAAGTTCTACACTCCAGTGACAGAACACAAAAAATGTTTTATTCCAGAAATAAAATAAAGACATCTCCTTTCAAGTATTTAATTTTGGGGCAAGGATACGTGACAGCATTTTACCATCTTTACTGATTTATTTTAAATGGATAGTATGTACCTAGGGAAAGTATTTAAAACAAAAACATAACTATAAAACTTTTTTTCTTAACAGAAGGAAATGGACTTTTTGATTTTCTTTTCTCTTTTAAGAATTTAACCTGGGTTGGGGATGTGGCTCAAGCAGCAGTAGCGCGCTCGTCTGGCATGTGTGTGGCCCGGGTTCGATCCTCAGCACCACATACAAAAACAAAGATGTTGTGTCCGCCGAAAACTAAAAAATAGATATTAAAATTCTCTCTCTCTCAAAAAAAAAAAAAGAATTTAACTTTTATTTTTTATTTGTTTTTTTATATATAGGATTGAACCCAGTGCCTCGCATGTGCTAGGTAAGTGCTCTGCCACTGAGCGACAAGCCCAGCCCTGGACTTTTTCCTTAATGTAAATATTCTTTTCAGTGGTTTGGGGAAATGACTGTAATTTTTTTTTTTTTAAAGATTGGAAATGTAAAAATAAATAGATGAGCAAAAGTAAAATAAGATGCTTATAATTGTCGATTTGAATTGTCAACTTAATTGGATTAAGGGATGCCAAGGATTAAGAGTATTATGGGAGGGGTTGGGGCTGTAGCTCAATGGTACAGCACCTGCCTCACACGTGTGAGGCCCTGGGTTTGATCCTCCACACCACATAAAAATAAACACATAAAGATACGTGCCCATCTACAACTAAAAAAAAAAGTAATTTGGGTGTGTCAATGAGGTGTGTCTTGGAATGACTGGCATGTGGGATAGCCAACTAAAGTGGAGACTCTCCCTAAGCATGGGCAGCACCAATCAGTAGGATGATGGCTTGGATGGAATAAAAGTTGGAAGAACAAGGAAGCAGATGCAAGATGCAAGATGCAAGCTTGATTCTTCTTGAAGGGGCTCTTGACTGCTACTGTGATCCTCTGAGGATATCGGACTCTTGCTTCTTCACTGTTTCAAAGTGGACTCTGCCAGTGATTCCCCAGAAGCCTTCAGCCTCAGACCACTGTAGCACTGTTGATCCTGTTGTTCTGGGGCTCCAGCCTCTAGGACTGTGTGGCTACTGGTTCTTCTGGCTCTCCAGACTGCAGATGGCCATTGTGGACCATCCAGCTTCTGGTTGCATGAGCCAACCTAATAAGTCCCTTTTTTTTTTTTTTTTAAATAATTACACTTCGTGTTGATTCTTTTCCTCTAGAGAACCCTGACTAATACAATGCTCTATAGTGAATGCTCTTACAGATGTCAGGCCTTAGGAGGCTGACGGCCCTTATTACACCAGAGACAGAACTGTGCGTGCTGTAACTTGGCACTGCTCTGTGGATCTGGTCTACAGGGAGGTGCCCCCTCTACCAGCACTCCACGCTCCTGTGGCGAGCAGCTTTCAGGTTCTGCCTGTGATGCCCCGCAGCTCATAAGCCTTTTGCTGCAGGACACACAAAGAGCTGATCTAAGAATAAGCCCTTTCAGCAATATGACCCTTCCCTTTCCCTTCCACCTGGCTCTCAGGCAATCACACCATTATGCACCCTACAAATAGCATCATTTGCTGGCCACTTGCTTGACTTTTTTGGGGGGGTGGCGGGTACTGTGTACTGAACCTAAGGGCTTTTAACCACTGAGCCACATCCCCACAATTATTATTTTTCATTTTGAGACAGGGTCTTGCTAACTTGTTTAAGACCTCCCAAAGTTGCTGAGGCTGGCCTTGAACTTGAGATCCTCCTGCCTACGCCTCCCTGGATACTGGGATTACACTGCACCCAACACTCACATGTTTGCTTATTTGGTCTTAGTATCAGTGGTAGGTAGGGAGTTAGGATGATAAAGTACAAGCCTATTTTATGTTTAATCTTCCACTTAGGTTAGGTCTCCAGATTATGTGTTAGCTAAGATGATTATTATTAGGCTACTATGAAAAAAATATTAGCTGACCCCTTGATGAAAACCCATCGGCTCACAAATGAGGTGAATTCTAAGTTCAGAAAACCAGTTTAAGGTTTGGGGGTATAATTCAGTGGCAAAGCACCGCCTAGCATTTGTGAGCCCCTGGGTTCGACTCCCAGCACCACTAAATGAAAGAAAGGTAGGCAGAGGCAGGCAGGCAGGCAATTTAAGATAGCAAAAGAACATCATCAAACTAAAAATAAAAGATTCTATTATAGTACAATTTTCTCCCACTGAAACCTACGTCCCCCAAGAAACAAAGCTCTTGCTTTGAGGTTTAGCCAAATTCCTTGACTTAATTTTTTATTTTGTGATCATATTATTTTTTTACTTCAAAGTAATGTTGTAAAAAAATATGAAGCAATAATATGTATCATAGAGAAACACTCGCAACCTCATCTCTGTAGTAATAGTCATGTCTAAAATTTGGTATGTCTGTCCAGAGATTTTTCTATATTATCTCTATTATTATGCAGATATTTTGAAAAACAAATGTAGGACCATTTTATATCAATTTCTTTGCAGTTTGCTTTTGCACGATTGTTCATGTAGTGTGACTGGGTGCCTGCAACATACTGAACACTATTCAAGAGCTGGGGATGTACTGGAGAACAAAGGAAAGACTATGTCATCATGGAGCTTCTGTTGGAGTGGGGAGGTGGAGATAGAGATAACTAACAGTAAATATAATAGGTCAACAATTTGTGGGGCACACAGGAAGGTGAGAAGCACTATTGAAAAAGGAAAACGTAGAGCAAGTGGAAGGACCTCAGGTGTGGACAGAAGAGAAACAAGTTAAGGTTTGGATTTTACATAGCCTCCAAAAGCCTTATGCCAGAGGCTTGGCCTTCAGTCTGGCACTATTGGACGTGGTGGAATCTTTGGGATCTGGGGCCTAGTTGGAAGAGGTGGGTCACTGTGGGTGTGCCCCTGAAGGGTATATACTGCTCCCAGTGTCTCTCCCTCCCTCCCTCCCTCCCTCTCTCTCTCCTTCCTGGCGGCCATGAGGTGAGCAGCTCTGCTCTACCATGTACTCCCGCCATGATGCTCTGCCTCACCACAGGCCCAGAAACCATGGAGCCAGCTGACCACACACTGGAACCTCTGAAACCATGAGCCAAAATAAATCTTGTAAGTTGATTTTCTCAGGTTTTCTGTCACAGTTACAGAAAGCTAACTAACAGGAGGGAAGGGCTCCATTAATGATATTGTTTATCCCTTTTCCCCAAAAGTTCAAGCTATTCTAACAGTTCCTCCAACTTGAAGAATATACACTTGGCCCTTAGGACACAGCAGTGCCAATGGATAAAAAGGAGCTGGTTCATTTATATTACAGCCCATTGTTGCATATATTACCAAATCTGAATGCTCTGAATGGGTCATCTATTGTAAGTACAATTAGCTAAAATGAAAGAGTGTGAAGAATCCATTCAGTCTTGGCATACATTTTATTCAAAGAGAGAAACATAACATCTTTCCTTCTGCATCCTTCCTTTCTGTTCATCCCAGTGCCACGTCCCTGCTCTGCTTCTTTGGCCTATTGGAACCCACTGTCTTCATGGAGCCACCAGCTACCTCTGACCCCGGAAGGGACTTGCCCTTGCCCCTGCCCTCAAGCTCTCCCCACTCCCACCAAAGCACTTGGTCATTACATCCCATTCTTTCAGTTCTCTCCGGGCTCTGTTTTCTGTGTGTGTGTGTGTGGGGGGGGGGATCAAAAGTTCAAGAAAAGGATTAAGGCTGATGTCTGTTCGCGTAGTTCTACCTTTTAAGTGGCATTTGTGCTTTAACAGTTGCTTGGGATGTTGGTCATTAGTATGGTTTTTAGTTAATGTTTCCTGGGTGGGCTGGGTGTGGAGAGGGAAGAAAATCTTGAGCATGGAATGACTTAAATTTTTTCATAATTTAAATTAAATTCCAGGCCAGTGCCACCTACACAGTCTTGGATTCCAGGAGTGAGGGCACAGACGAGGGGGGCAGAGAGAGGAGAGAAGAGGCCAATGCACGCTCCTGAGGAGCTGGGCAAAGGGGCACCCAAAAGGTGCTTCCTGATGTAGGGGTGGCCTTGGGGAACCCTGCCCTGAACCCTGCACACCATGGGGGTGGAACTCAGCTGTCCTGTGATGGGCTCCAGTCATTTTCTGTTTTAAATTGAAATAGCATTATATACAAGATACTCAAAGTGTCCTCGCTGCCTACCCTCTCTTTGGGTCTTTCATTTTTAACACCATCAGCTGCTTTTCCATAACTGGCCCTCAGATCATGTGCGCTCTACGATACATGTCTCTGCTAAAAAATATTCCTTTCTCCACCCAGCAGGGCCAGGAAGCCTTGGTCTCCACCTCTGCAGGGTGTCTGGCCTGAGTGGGCTGCTGGACGACGTGCCCCAGCTGTGCTCAGAGAGCTCTGGGCTCCGTTTCGCCTCTCTGTCTG